GGACGCCTGTTATCTGCACCTTCCCCCTCTCGTCTGTGTACCTCAGCCTCCTCCGGACAGCTCCATCAGGGACGTCCCGCAGCTTCTCCATCTGCCTCTTCTCTCTGTGGATGATGTGGATGGCGTGGCCCAGGTACGCCAGGGTGGGCGTGGACACGAAGGTGATCTGCAGGACCCAGTAATGGACGTAGGAGATGGGGAACCTCCAGTCGTAGCAGGAGTGTTTGCACCCCGGTTCTAGGCTGTCGCAGTAGAACTCGGACACTTCGTCCCCCCAGACGTTGTCCACGGCGGCTCCCAGGACAAAGATCCGGAACAGGAAGAGGACGCTCATCCAGATCTTCCCAACCACCGTGGAGTGAGACTGGACCTTGTCCAACAGAGAGGACATGTAAGACCAGTCCCCCATGGCTGGAAGCTAATGTCTGAAGGAGAGGAGACAGACATTACATCACATCCCAGAGAACACACAAATACAAGGCTGTTCAAATGTAAAGATCTATTTCAATAAAAGCATAAAGCAACACACAGAATACTACCAGAAAGTAAACAAAACAATTGTATCTTTAGAGGATGAGCAAGATAGAACAAAATGATACTTTAAGCATCAGTTTGCACTGACTACTTTAAAGCAGGTGTGTATCTCTGTAGTCGGCGTTAAACTGTGGAATCATTTACCAAATGATTTAAAGGGCTGTATGAATATATTTAGGTTAAAGAAACTGAATAAAGAAATTATAATTAGACAGTATGAAGATGTCAGGTAACCTGTTTTGCTTATGGTAAATTGTTGTGTTGACCATTGATTGTAATTTTGGTTTCATGTTACTGTAAGTATTGTTAGGCAGGTGTGACTGAGAGACCATCGATTTTTTTTTTTTAATGAGGGGCAGATCAAATAAGTTTTTCTTCCCCCTGCTCCTTTCCATCATGAGCTACAAAAACAGCTTGAAGTGTACATGTTTTGTTAAAGTGAGTGGAATAAACTAATACATAATTCAAATGAACTATGAAGCTTCATACAAGAGCAAGGAAACTGTTCTCAGTGCCAAATGAAGTATTCAAAGCAGTCCACAGAAACTTAACAGAGCTACAGATTGTGGGCAGGGTTCGCACAAAAAATATTTAAAATAGTCTTCAACTCCCATTACCATATCCATCTTTTGTTCACAAATGAATTAGTAACTTTTGCATCGCCATTCATCGGTGTTTAAAATAGTATGGTACACTAAATAAACTGAAACGTTGACTTTAATGTATTATGTCAACAGATTTCACATAACTATATTAGGTTAGTTGAAAACAATAATATTAAAGGGGACCTATCATGCAAAATGCACTTTTGTACGTCTTTTATACATGAATATGTGTCCTCGGTGTTCCAGGGAACTCACCAAGTGTCAGAAAACACAACCCTCTCTATTTTCCTCCATACCCAAATCTCTAAAAAAGGGGCTGCAACGGATCTGATAAAAACTGATCCAGATTTGAACACTGTCCTGACGTCAGGACAGTGGCGCTACGGCTATTGGGCCAACTCCACCAATCAGGAGGAGACAGCCACGGCCATTGCCGTTCGAAAGCGCTGGAGACGCTGTAGTACATATGCCAGACCTGTAGGTGGTGCTGTTCTCACTGAATCTGCCCTTGCAAAAACAGGGCTAAAAAATGTCAAATTGAGCGAAATGAGGCATGGCTAAAATGCATGATCTGTTTGGTATTTTGAAAAAAAAAAAGTATAAATATGCCTTATATAGGTATGGTCCTACACTATATTATTCAAATATAGCATGATAGGTCCACTTTAAGTTTAAAAAGGATCAACTAAATATTATAGCTTTCAACTAACCATAACAGTTATGTGAAATAAAATGTTGGTTTGATGATGAATTATGAAGTTAAAGTATATATTTCAGATGTTCTTCCTGATGTGTACAGCCCGTAATGTTGCCTGCTGTCTTAAGAAACCTTCCTGAGAGTTACTTGGGCCATGTTGTCGTTGTTTACTGTAGAAATAGCCCTGTTAGCCCAGTTGGTAGAGAATGTTGGGCTATATCATGCTATCACCCCCCCCCCCCCCCCCCCCCCCCCTGAATGTGGTTCATTTACCTGCAATTCTTAGAAAGTAAGACATTATTTGATTCAGTATACACAGTATAATCTACAGACATTGTCAAACAGTAGAGTCAACTAAAATATGTTTATCAGAATCAGAATACCTTTATTAGTCCCACAGAGGGGACATTTACATTGTTACAGCAGAAAAGAGCCAACTACTCAGTGATAGGGAGCTGCTGTAACAGGCTGCCACTCGACGCAGCGCCAGAGCTCAGAAGAGAGTGGTTAAGTGACACATTTACATGTTAATCAAAGTGTTTTAATTTGAGGTTGGAGAAACATATAATGTACTAACCTGTCCGGCTTCAGATATTAGAAATATTTTGCCATGTGTCCATCACACGGGACAGCAAAAGACGCAGAGGAGACTTAAATACTGGGGAGGTCTACAGTTAGGAGAGACTGACTCAGATTCGCTCCCTTCAGTCTCATCGCTTCTCGTTTCACTCAACCTTGTGGTCATTTTGCTGACTCTGAACCAAAAGGTTTCTTCACACTCTCTTACTCCTCAGAATGTTCCTATCGTTTGTAACCTCTAACATACAGTATCTAACAAGCTGTAATAAGGTGTTTTGAACTACTCATCATTCAGATATACTTTTCTGCATGTTCCCAAAGCCTTGATGCCATTTGCTAATTGGAGTGGTGGAAAGTAATAAGTATATTTACTCAAGTATTGTACTAAAGTAATTTTTTGACATATTTGTATTTTCCATTTAATGCTAAATTAAATATTATACTTTTTACTCTGCTACATTTAATTTAACACTCACAGTTACTTTATAAAAGAACTGATATGAGGATATGGAATAATGCAGTATTGGACTACGTATCTACACAGTATTTCTAGTATCTAAATGTAGTCCACATAAACAAACTACAATACTCAAATGCTCTTATATGTATTCAAAATATAATATAGAATCGATAATAAATCAATTCTGTGAAAAGATCCATTCTGCATTACAAGTACTTTTACTTTTGATAATTGAAGTACATTTAGTTGATAATACTTCTGGACTTTATATTATTCTGAAATGGGCCATTGTGCAGAATTAGTACTTTTGAAACTTTAAGTACATTTTGATGCTAATAATTTGGTACTTTTACATTTTTAAATAAGAACTTGTACTTGTAATGGAGTAATTAAGACAATAGTATTTGTACTTTGACTTAAGTAGAGGATCTTCTCCCAACACTGGCTAATGTTTAAGTTTCTCACCACCTCACAGTGAAATTGCACTAAACTGAGAAAAGGGAACAGCAGCACACGCACAGCTCGAGGGGTGAAATAAACCACAGCAATAATGACATTTGCTGAGCTGATTATAATGTGAAGTTTCTCACTCAGCACCCTGTGTGGATCCCAATTTCCACTTGAATCAAGTCTAACATGTTCATTTGAGTTAAGAACGGGGAACTACTGAATGAACAGGGTTGGGAGGGTTACTTTAAAAATGTATTCCGTTACAATGACTGGTCACCTTCAAAACAATGTAATCAGTAACCTAATCTGAGTGTGAAAATATATAAGTACTGTAGCCTGATTACTTTACTTTTGGATTACCTCAATATCAAATGCAATGCGAATAAATAAAAGAGAACAGAAATATCAATAAGATGTTTTTTACTGAAGTGTCAGACAACAGAACAATGTGACCTCAGAAAAAAAAGAGAAACCAAGATATTTAATATAGAAAATGATTTTAATGATAGGAAAAGCTGCCTTTTATGAAGCATAATAGGCAGTAGACTATACACCAATACTGAAACACAAGAAAACATACTTCAGCAGAAAAAGCAGAAATGAGAACAAAAGTATATTAGTGGCTCTGACTATTTGAAAGTGTCAGGAAAAGTCCTTAGTCATGACCGGATAAATCATGTTTCTCTCTCAGTTCCTGTAAAGCAAGCCTTATTATGTCTAACATAACCAATTGCCCCTTGCGGGATTAATAAAGTTGTTGATTGATTGATTGATTGATTAACACAACATTTTTCTGTCATCAACTCCCAATGCAAGTCATATTTGACCTAAACTCCCATTAGGACTCACACACCGTGAACCAGACTGTAAGCACGTCCTCATTTCATACACTGCTAATGTCAAATATTATGGTGAATTACTAGAATTCCATTTCAGAGGAAGCATGTTTGATCGTTTCAATTGTTTAGCCCTTTCTTATTTTTTTATTTTTACTTTTGTTTTTTAAATGTTTTGTTTGTCTTTTTCACTTTTTGTGGAGTGAATACAGCATCTCTCGGTTAGGATATAAGTATAACATATGAACTTAAAAGGCTGTACTCTATGTACTTAGATCACCTGCCTGATACTAAGAACTTCTTTCAAGACTGACCTACTGTTTTAAGAATCACATAGGATGCATATTGATTCAGATTTATGTATATTGAAATGGTGATAGGAATCACAACATTCATTCCAAAAGTACGGTGGCCGACAGGTGCAAACACGTTACTAAGCAAAACACTTCCATTAGGAAAAATGCTCTGCAGAAATAAAATCACAAATGTGTTAAGAAAGATCTTCACCAACTTGACGAAACATGCACAGTGTTTACTATAAGCACTGAATAACCAAAATGCTGCAAATAGAAAATGCTTCTGTTGGGAAAATACTGAATGTACTCTTCTAATATCAGAGTAGCACATGATAACAAAGGCCTAACTGTAACTGTGTACGTAGCCAGATGTATGATAACAGTGGTGCTGCAAGACACTCTGGGGGCCCCAGGCAGAAGAGACATGCCCCCCAACACATCCAGCACAAGCGCCCCCCCCCGAAGCTTTGCCAGAATACTACTTTGAACCGGTATTCTCTATCTTGGCGTGTGGGCGGGTTACTGTGACCCATGAAGATCTGATGATTTTGCAATGTGAGTCTCAATAAGAAGGAAGTGAGAGATTGCTAGTCAGCGACTGGCTGAACATTACTGAGGTAGGAACAGTTATTTTTGTCTTAAGCTTTAGTATTGTTTAAACATATCATTTTAAAAACAGCTAAAATGGGAAAACCACAATGGATTATTGAATTATTTGACATTTCACTGCTTTCATGAATTTAATTTAGATTAATGAGCGGTCTAGGAATGCAAAATGTTGCCTTTAAATGTTATCAACACAAAGGAAAATATGTTATTAACTACAGGAAAGTGTTCGAAATCTGGCAGGAAATTCTTGCAGCTACATTAATATTGACTGTGGTGTCAATCAATAATTAAATTCTTTTATTCTTAATATATATATATAGCCATCTTTCATTATGCATTATGAAAAATACATTTGTGAACATATGCACTGATGATTTTGGGTTAATAATATGAGTTAATCTGCCTCCATAGAAACACACAGATTGGCTATTTTCCCGTCTTTTTGTGATCTCTAACCTATCTATCTGACAGGCTGGACTTCCCTAATTATATTTGTATTTTGCTATCCTGAAAAGAAACAGCTACATTTCATTAAGAGGAACGTATATATATATATAAGTGTATAAGTGTATATATATATATATCTATGTATACTATATATATGTATATAAATTACTATAGAGTGGCGAAGTCACGCCCATCTACTTCCGGTCCATGGGACCTTATTTCGGAAAAATAATGTATTGAAGTCAATGGAGAGAGAAAAAATGTTTTGGCTCTATGAAACCTGATGTACTTATATGATTCCGTCTTCTTCAAGTGTGTATCTTCTCGGTCGAATGCACTTATTGTAAGTCGCTTTGGATACAAGCATCAGCTAAATGTAATGTAATAAATATGGAATCATGCGAACACATTGTTATAAATCCCCAATAAAACGTATACATTAGGGTCCGTTTCCAGTGAGAGTGACTTCAACAAGTGCATTGCTCCCAGCTGAGTGCATCACTTTTTAGTGTCCCTGTTTCCGTTGTGTTTTGAGCTTCTTGCAGCATTTTGTATTTGCGCCGTGGCGTTAATGCAGCGCTTTTAGTGAACTCTGCACAGGTTTGCTGGTGAAGACGTTTCTTCATTCTTTCAATATTTTAATTATTTATTTTATCTATATTTATTTTATTATTAGAATGCAAAAAGCAACGCAGTGGATACTGAAACGTGTGGAGCCCCTAAAGGGACATGAAAAAAAAAAAAAAAAAAGAGAGAGAAAAAAGAAAAGTCGGGGTTAGTATCTGTGCGCACGAGATACTAACCCGTTATCCCGACTTTCTTTTTCATGTCCCTTTAGGGGTTCCGTAGAACGAGCACATCAATTAGATAAATAACTTAAACTTTTGGTTTAATTAATAAAATAGCACCTGGTCAATGTGAAAAGTGACCGTAGATAGATTACTTTGTTGTGATTTGGCGCTTTATATATAATATATAACAAAAAAAAACAATTGAATTTCAGGGGGGGTGCAGGTAGTCGTTTCAAGACAATGGTAGGGGAAACACTGATTTATATAAATAAAACTATTTAAAATAAAATGTGCTCATTGAACTACAATGATCACCCCTTTCAGCACAGTTTAAAAGGTGGTGCTAAGTATTCTGCCATGACTTGTCTCACTTTTAGCTTTAATGTGCTATGTGTCAAATGTTCTGCACAACGTACGACTTGAAACCTTCTGTCTCTCATCACCATTGCTGTCTTTGTCTTTTGTCGTAGGCCGTCATCATGGGGGAGTGGTCCTTCCTGTCAGATCTGTTGGACAAGGTGCAGTCCCACTCCACTGTAGGGGGGAAGGTCTGGATGAGTGTTCTCTTCCTCTTCAGGATCTTCATCCTGGCTGCTGGCGTAGATAAAATATGGGGCGACGAACAATCCAACATGGAGTGTAACACCGGGAGCGTTGGCTGCAAGAACGCCTGCTACGATCAATACTTCCCCCTGTCTCACACGCGCTTCTGGGTCCTCCAGATCCTCATGGTCTCCACTCCAACCATCATGTACCTGGGCCATGTCCTGCTGGTGATTCGCAGAGAAAATAAGCTGAGGAGGCGCATAGAGCAGAAACTAGGTCAAATCAGGATGAATAAAGCCCCAAAGTATTCAGACGAATTTGGCCGGGTGCAGCTGAAGGGCGTCCTGCTGGCCAGCTACTTGATGCAGGTGCTGTTCAAGATCCTGCTGGAAGTGGCCTTCATCGTAGGCCAGTACTACCTCTACGGCTTCATACCAATGCCTCTTAAGATCACATGCTCTGAATACCCCTGCCGGTCACAGGTGAACTGCTTCATAAGTCGTCCCACAGAGAAAACCATCTTCATCGTCTTCATGTTGGCGATGGCCGTCCTCTCGGTGATCCTCAACATCATCGAGATGTTCCACCTGATGATCTCAAAGGTGAGGGGGAGGAAAAGAAGAAGCAGTGGCTCAGAGGTGTTAATCCAACTGAAGGAGTCACAGCGTGTTGAAGGACTGTGAGCGGAGAGCTTTTTGGAACTTTGCTTCAATGGTGTTAGACATGAGGTTTGAATCACAGCCAGTTTGACATTGTGCATCTCCGGCACCAACTGCCATCTTGTTTTTATTTCAAGCTCTTCATAAATCAGTTCTGCTGGAAGTAGCAGGAGAGATGTATCAAATGACATTATCCGATTCAAGAACATGGAATGTGGAGTTGTGCTTTAGTGAACCTTAAATAATAAATAGGATAAGAACTTTGTTGACACGCAGAATGTTTGTTTTGCTTTTTAGACCCCAAATATCTCCAATATATTGTAGTTTTATGAAAAAATGTAATTCATCAATATACCCAGAACATTTCCATTGGTTTTCTCAGTGTCATCTGTAACATATGTCCAGATTTATAGTCAATGGTGCCAAATTGTAAATCACAAATCCACAATGTACATGTTTACTAGTATTAGTGGCCTGTCTTAGACCATAGGAACAACATGTATGCATTTTGACAACAGGCCAAGTTCCCCTTAAGTTAAGAGTTAATGGTTGTTTTCTACATCTTGTGCTAGACAATGTTTTTTCTTTTGGTCTTATCCCAGTGCTTGGTAACATGCAACAAAAACACATGATTGGTATTTTTTTTCTGATAATCACTAAAACACATATTTAAAAAATACAATTACAAATGTATCACATTACCACAACTTTGGCTCAGCAGAGTTTTTGCTGCAATACTATCACAATAATATTATCCGAGACTCTGTGATTGTGGATTGATTTTTTTTTTTTTAAATTGTTTATTCTGTTAACCATTGTCCTCATGGTAATTCATGCTAATTAACACCATGTATGCTAATTGTATGCAAGCTAGCATCCTGCAGTTTCTATGTGCTGGGGACCCGTACTTTGCATTTCTAACATACAACTTTGGGGGACTCAACATTTTCAGCACTATAAGGTGTTTGGATGTTGAGAGTTTGAGGGGATAAGCCTCACTCACCATGGATGACAGGACATCTTTTGAGCTACTGCAAAATCCTTCATTTGGAAAAAGGTTGAAGGTGTGTGTTACAAAGTGAGGTGCAGGTGAAAGAACGATACGTGGAAAGAGGGTTTTCTTGCAAAAATAGACAGGCATTTTATTCTCAGCCTTCCACATTATTCCACAGAAACAAAAACTGCATGCCTGGTGCTGCGTTCACCAGCAAGGAACAAACACCAAATGCCCCCTCCCCTCTCTTCCCAACCACATTTATAGGAGACTGCCCGCCTTCCCAATCCAACCTGGCCAATCAGGTCATGGTTCTGAAAGCGGACTGAAGGGTTAAATACAAAATTAAACACTGTGGTCTACATTTAATACAATCCTAAAGGCTTAAGTAAATTCATAATTGCATCAACATAAACATTGTACCTTCAGAAACAACAAGTTCTGCTTAAAACGGATAGTTTTTAACCTAATTGACACTCATAAAATCACTCATTTCCTGACCAATCACGTCCAAGACTCCGCCTACTCATACGGCACACATAAGGAGTACTTTGGAGGCGTGCTCCCCCTTTGAGCAGTGACACAAAATGGCTTCCAGGTCTGAACAAAGGAAATGGTGATTACTTTGTGATTGTGTGTTTTACAGACTGACAAATTAATCTAGATGCCCTTTACTAGTTTTTCTAGGTAAACTGTTTTTATAACTTTAACTGAAATAAAGACAACTCTGAAGAAACATGTACTACCTTTCTTAACAAACAAATTGTTAAGCCAAAATGTTAGTGAGGGAGTGTGTGCGCTTCATCACATTTCACACCTCCTCCCCCTCTGGCTTGCACAGGTCAGGCAAGTGAGAAAGATAGTCAGCTATTAGGTTATTCTTACCGGGACAATACTGTATGGTGAAGTGGTATGGCTGGAGGGCTAGGCACCAACGTAGAATCCTTGCATTCTGATGCTGCTTAGATTGCATCCACTTCAACGGTTTGTGGTCTGTCTGCAACACAAACTCTCTTCCAAGAAGGTAATACTTCAATGAATCTATAGCCCACTTTATAGCCAGTCCCTCTTTCTCCACGGTAGAGTATTTTTTTTCCCGGTCAAACAACTTCTTACTCAGGAACAGTATAGGCTTCTCTTTGCCAGGCTCTCCTTGGGCTAGCACTGCTCCTAGTCCAACACCAGAGGCATCAACTTGCACAAGAAATTGTTTTGTGAAGTCCGGGCTCTGCAACACAGGAGCTTGACAGATCTGCCTCTTTAATGCCTGGAAGGCATTTTCACACTCATCATTCCACACAACTTTTGTGGGAGATTTTTTTGTTAGATCAGTAAGTGGGGCAGCTAATGTAGCAAAGTGGGGAACAAACCTTCTGTACCACCCCACCAGGCCTAAAAAGGACCTCACTTGCTTCTTTGTCTGGGGTCTGGGTATTACCTGTATGGCTTTTATCTTCTCAACTTGTGGTCGTATTTGCCCACGTCCAACCAGGTATCCAAGGTATTTTACCTCCTCTTGAGCCCAGGAACATTTGTTGGCATTCAGGGTTAGCCCGGCTTCCTGTATCTTGCCCAACACAGCTTTAAGATGCTGCAGATGTTCTTCCCAGGATTCACTGTAGATTACCACATCATCTAGGTAGGCTGCTGCAAACCTGGTGCAATCATTAAGAACAAGGTCCATTAACCTTTGAAAGGTTGCAGGCGCTCCATGAAGACCAAAGGGTAGTACAGTGTAGTGAAACAAACCCATTCCTGGAATCTGAAAAGCTGTATACTCTTTGCAGGCTGGTTCAAGAGGCACCTGCCAGTAACCTTTACAGAGGTCTAAAGCTGTGATGTACTTAGCTTTCCCCAACTTCTCCAGTAGCTCGTCAATCCGTGGCATAGGGTACGAATCAAAACAGGAAATGCTGTTCAGCTTCCTCATGTCCGAGCAGAAGCGAGGTTCAGTGGTGTTTTTCTTAGGAACAAGCACTATAGGATTTGACCACTCACTTCTAGATGGTTCAATGACTCCCATGTCCAACATCAACTGTACCTCCTTTCTCAGTGGTTCCATCATTCTTTCAGGAATTCTGTAAGGCCTCAGGCGAACAGGTTTAGTGTCCTTCAGTACAATGTTATGCTTTATCACATCAGTGCGTCCAGGTTTTTCTGAGAACAATGCTGGGAAGGATTGTTTAAGCTCACCCAGTTGATGCCACTGATCCAAACTCAGATGCTCCGGAGGGGCCTGGGGTTTACACTTCTCTCTGTGCGGCACCATGTCAGCCCCCTCTGCTTCCCACACATCCTCCTCTTCCAGCTGGACATCTTGGATCATCAGAACATGTTCTCCACCTGCCTTCTGGTTTTTCCTGTCATGATATTCTTTTAAAAGGTTTACATGCAACAACTGTTTGCACTTTCTTTCATCAGCACAGAGAATTTCATAGGTCACAGGGCCTGCCTTTCGGGTTACTGTATAAGGGCCTTGCCACTTGGCTAGTAACTTACTTGGGCCGGTCGGGAGCAGTATCAAGACTTTCTGGCCAGCTTTCAGCTCTCTTTCACGAGCACGTTTGTCGTACCACACCTTCTGCTTACGTTGAGCTTCATGCATGTGTTCTTTGACCGTTTCTCTGTAACTGTCCAGTTTGTCTCTCATCTGCAGAATGTAGGAGATGATACTGTTGGTTGTTGTTGCCACTGCCTCACCAGCCACCCAGTTCTCCTTCAGCACATCCAAAGGGCCTCTGACCTGTCTGCCATATAATAACTCAAAAGGGGAGAAACCCGTTGAAGCCTGTGGCACTTCTCTGTATGCAAACAAAAGGAACGGCAACCATTTATCCCAATCTTTGCCAGTATCATCAATACATTTTCTCAACATTTGTTTCAGTGTACCATTAAAACGTTCTACGAGACCATCAGTTTCAGGGTGGTATGGAGTTGTTCTGATCCCTTTAACACCAAGTTGTGAGTACAGTGACTTCATCAGATGGGACAAAGTTTGTACCTTGATCTGTTAAGATCTCTTTAGGGATGCCAACTCTAGAGAATAGCTCTACCAAACACCGCACTATATGTTTGACCTGCATGGAACGCAGTGGATAGACATCTGGATATCTGGTGGCGTAGTCACAAATAACCAGGGCAAACCTGTGACCCTTGCTACTCTTTGGCAGAGGACCAATTATATCCATGGCTATTCTTTCATAAGGTACACTCATTATTGGTAATGCTTGTAGAGGGGCTCTGTTTGAAAGTTTGTTAGGAGCTACAACCTGACACTCATGGCACGTTTTACAGTAATCAATTACCTCTCTGTATAATCCTGGCCAATAGAAACGCTGAGCAATGCGATCATAAGTTTTTGCCTGTCCCAGATGCCCAGCCCATGGCACAGTATGACCCACATGCAGGATTATTTGGCGAAACTCTTTTGGAATGACTAGCCTAGGTTTCTCTCTGTCTGCCAAATACAAAAGATTGTCTTTTATGATGAAGGGATCCCCAATTAGATTTTTCAGCCCCCCTGTGGTTGCATCTTCATCCCCATCTACTTTGCATGCTTTTGCAAATAGAGTTTTTAGAGATGGGTCATTCTCCTGACTCTCTCTGTTATCTGGGATTTGCCATTGGGGCTCGATGAGGGGAGTTACAGGGAGAGTATGCTCAGGGCATTTAGCCTTATCGTGATTTCTGTTTTTCTCTTGACGGCGCTGCCGCCTTGTTTTCTTAAGCTTACCACCCCCTTCACATAAATCATCATCTGCATCTGGTAAAGGTTCTAACCCCTTAGCCATAGAGCGCGTAGCTACATAGGAGTACGCGAGTGAGTTTTGCTGTACCAAGTGGTCTAAGATTGGCAAATCATCCCCAAGGATCACGTCATAAGCTAGGTGCTCTAACACACCAACAGTTAGCACAAAGGCTTGTCCTTCAACCACAATGGTAACATCCGTAGTTGGGTAATCCTTTTTACATCCATGAACACAGGTGATATTTACACTGCCATCACAATCAGTTATTGCATTGCCAAGTAAGCTGGACTTCACCAAGGTTTGTGAACTACCAGTGTCAGCTAGGGCTTTCACTGCTTGACCATTTACGGTGACAACTACCACATGTCTATGTGGAACAATTCCACTATCAGTTACATTAGCATGGTCATCACTTTCTGCACGGGGTACTGAACACAGCTCAACCGACTTAGACTTTCTTACTGGACACAATGAAGCCTTGTGTCCAGGTTGCTGACAATAGTAACATATAAAGTTTGTTTTTAAGTTTGCATATGCAGGTTTCTTACCAACCCCAGTGTCCATGCTCTCAACAGCTGGCCAACTGTGAGGTTTGCCCTCCCCATACCTTGGCTTCCCAACAGTCACTCTTTTCTTTGAAGGTTCCCTGTGGGCCGCTGCATACCGTTCTGCCAGATCTGCTGCTTCTTCTCCTGTCTGGGGATTGTGCTCCTTGACCCAGGTGCGGACGTCTGGATGAAGCACACGGAGGTACTGCTCCAAAACGATGGTTTCTCCCATCTCCTCCTTAGTACGGCTGCTCGGTCTCATCCATCTTTTGTAAAGCCCCTTAATACGGTTGTAGGTTTCTCTTACAGTCTCTCCCACCGGCAAAATGGTGCTCCGGAATCGCTGTCTGTAAGTCTCTTCAGTAACATTAAACTTCATTAACACTGCTGCTTTAATGGTGTCATAAGACTCGGACTGTTCCTCATCCATTCCAGCATAGGCCTCAAGAGCTCTTCCTGTCAACAAGGTTACTACTCTGGGTGCCCACTCAAATGGCTGCCACCCCCATGTTCTGGCCATCCGTTCAAACCGAACAAAAAAACTTTCTGGGTCTTCACCTTCTTTGAACTCAGGTATTCTTGGCTCACTTACATAGGGCCTTGCTGTCCGGATTGGTGGATCACTATCCTGCAGAGGCTGGATAGGCCAATCTGATAAGGAGACAGGCCTGCTAGTTTGCAGTGGATTGAATTTTCCATGTGGCCCAGGTTTTAGCAGGTGTGTTGAGGTTTCAGCTTGTAGCCTTGGATTATCAGGACGTATTGAATAGGGATACTGTTGAACAGGGTGCTCATAGTGTACTTCTGAGTCCCGCATTGACTTTGAAACCATGTCACCTCTTAATTGTTTAATCTGTTCAAAAAGTATTGTCTCAGTCTGCTTAGACCTGTGCACAAACTCTCTAATTTCTTCCATGAAGCTTACTGTAGAGAGTTCCCCACCTCCAGTATGGGCTGTAAACACTTTGGGGCGAACCACCGGCTCTTCCTCATCTTCTTCACTTTCAGTTGCCCCGGCTCCCTCAAGTGGTGCCTCTTCTTCCATTGTCCCGTGTCTTTTTTCTTCCTCCGTGTCTGGCAAGGCTGTGGCCCTTGTCTGACGACCTTTTCCACGTACACCTTTCATTTAGTCAGTCTGTCCTCAAAGACTCCTCACAGGCGTTTAAAAGATCCCACCACTGCCACCAATTGTTACAAAGTGAGGTGCAGGTGAAAGAACGATACGTGGAAAGAGGGTTTTCTTGCAAAAATAGACAGGCATTTTATTCTCAGCCTTCCACATTATTCCACAGAAACAAAAACTGCATGCCTGGTGCTGCGTTCACCAGCAAGGAACAAACACCAAATGCCCCCTCCCCTCTCTTCCCAACCACATTTATAGGAGACTGCCCGCCTTCCCAATCCAACCTGGCCAATCAGGTCATGGTTCTGAAAGCGGACTGAAGGGTTAAATACAAAATTAAACACTGTGGTCTACATTTAATACAATCCTAAAGGCTTAAGTAAATTCATAATTGCATCAACATAAACATTGTACCTTCAGAAACAACAAGTTCTGCTTAAAACGGATAGTTTTTAACCTAATTGACACTCATAAAATCACTCACTTCCTGACCAATCACGTCCAAGACTCCGCCTACTCATACGGCACACATAAGGAGTACTTTGGAGGCGTGCTCCCCCTTTGAGCAGTGACACAAAATGGCTTCCAGATCTGAACAAAGGAAATGGTGATTACTTTGTGATTGTGTGTTTTACAGACTGACAAATTAATCTAGATGCCCTTTACTAGTTTTTCTAGGTAAACTGTTTTTATAACTTTAACTGAAATAAAGACAACTCTGAAGAAACATGTACTACCTTTCTTAACAAACAAATTGTTAAGCCAAAATGTTAGTGAGGGAGTGTGTGCGCTTCATCGCAGTGTGACAGAATGAATCAATTGTAATCTCAATTAAAAAGAAAATAACTCGACCTCCATAACTCAAAACTTGGAAAACTGTTTTTTATTGGTTTTTCGTAAATGAACTCGAGTAATCGTGGTCTATTAGGTCATGAATGTTACTTACTGCAACGCTTAAAGGCTAATTACCATAGCTAATTCTGCAGCTACCCAAACACCTTAATCAAATCCAGATTAAGTAAAAGGCACTTTTCCTATAACAGTTCAAATCTGGCAAATCAAGAAAGGATGTTTAATTTAAGTATAATCTTGAGGTACTTGTACGTTACCTGATTATTTTTCTTTAATTCTATTTAATTTGCAGACATTTACATAAACCTCTATAACACACATAATAGGGCCTCTTTAATCCAACGGACACATTGTGACAGTAGCCTATGATTTCATGTTTTGGCTTTCTTTGTCACCTCTTGGTCCCAGTCAGTGTCGAGAACATCGTTACTGAGGTCGAACAGAGACGGCCCTGAGAACGGACTCTTGGTGCCGCCCATCTGGAAACACTTCCTCTTCTTCAGATTAGCGCTGCTGTGACCGTCACCAGGGCTGCCGGTCACATGGTTCGCAGCGCGGCTTTGTTCAGTGAGCTTGGTTTGATCCGTCCCCTGTCCATGTCCCTGTCCTGATGGGGTTGGGGAAATGCCCTTTACGTTTTTCGCGTTTACTACAGTTGTTATCTTCCTTAGTAAAGCACTGTGTTCGGGGACATTTCCTCTAGAATGTTCCTCAGCTTCTGGACTTGTGTCTTCTCTAGTAGCAGAACCTTTTCCCAGATCAGTTTGGGTTGTGTTTGTGGGTTCAGTTGCGCAGGAGAAGGAGAATCGTGAGAGTTTAGCCAGGGTGGAAGAGGCCACAGTGGACTTGTTTTGTCCTGATTCGGAAGTTTCCGGATCGTCGATGCAAGAGCTTGGCTTTAAAGGTGTGGAGCAAGCGAAGCTACCTACTTTAGTCTCATTACTACTGCCAACTCTCGACCTTTGCTCTGCAGACACTCTTTCCCTCGCCTTACTTCTTTCCTGTTGTCTCCTGCTCCCATCTTCAGAAAGACTTTGGTTCTGTCTTTTCTTCTTCTCTGGGTCATCAGTAGTTTCTGGCTTCTGCTTGCTTTTGCTGCTCTCTGTGTTTGTGTGGAGATCTCTGAGGCCTGGGTTACAGGAGCTGTGGAACTCCATGTCAACGTTGGAGACTGTGTTACGATTTGGAACCATCTTTCTTGGTTTGAATGTAAAACCTGAGAACTTTGCATGCAGATCTTCACCTGCTCCAGCTTCAGCCGCCATCTTTTCCTTCAGTACAGTACTGATGTTTTGACTCACAGTCCGGTCACTTTTGTCCTTTGACAGGTTGTCCTGAACTACGTGTTTTGAGGGGCAGTTCTTACGTGAGGACGGTGTTGCGGCTGTGTGGGAATCAGAAGTGGTATCAGTCACATGTCCAGTCACATCTCCAGACACCACCCTCCCTACACACCCCCCTCCCTCTTCGTCACCCTGACGATGACTCAGCTCCAGCGCCCTTCTTTTGATTCTCAGATTCTTGGACACTTTCTGAAACACACACCCCAACGACTCCTCGTGTTTTTCTGTTGAAGCAGAGGTATTTGTTTCTGAAGGATTTGAATCAGCATCCTGATGTAATGATGAGTCAGCGTTACTCTGAATGACCTCCTCAGTTTGACAGTTGGTCTCTTTGCTGACTGTGGACATGTCTGACCAGCTGGAGTTGGGTTTTCTGTTTGGGATTCCTTGAGTGGATGTTATTATGGCCGAGGACGTGCCATCTGGCGACGATGATGACGCGATGGAGTGGAACCAGTCCAAGCCAGTTTCCCCCGTGACATCATCCTGGTTACTGGTGGTGTCATGGCAGTGTGTTTTGTTCATGGAGTTTGTGTCTTTGAGTTGTTGTCGGTCATTATCAGTTGGAGGATCAAACTGGGAGGCCTGGGAGGTGTTGCTATTCAGCCTGGTGAACAAAGAAAAGGGAGAAAAGTACTTTGGCGTGATAAAACAAATCTATTTCAGCAAACTCACCCCAAATAATCTAACTGAATACACATTTAACATGACAATGCCCCACTGCACTAAGTTGGCTGTACACTTCAAACTTCACAAATGACCATGGTGGAATTAAAGGGATACTTTACCTTCCAAATAACCATTAACATACAGTATCATGTACCCATCATGGGATACATTGAATCGTTGAAGAAAACTGTTTATCTCACCCAGGTTACTTTTATATAACCCTTAGAACTTTTGAAATTGAAATCAAAATGTAACTTTTGAGTTTATGATAAAAAAAAATATGATTTATAAAATAAATGTTAGAAACTGTTAATGTATTTAATGTTATCCAGTAGATTCATAATGGGATTCCTGTTCTGTAAGTGTGTGTGTGTGTGTGTGTGTGTGTGTGTGTGTGTGTGTGTGTGTGTGTGTGTGTGTGTGTGTGCGTGTGTGCACAGACTAACCTCAGGATTAGCCATTTTACTGTTAAATGCTAAACTATGGCCCGGTCAACAGATATTTTCTGTAAACACAACACACACAAGAGGCTCTATTCCTCAGTGAAAAATAGAAGAGTTACTAGAAATGATTGTGTAAACATGTAAAAAGTGTGCAATGTTCCCAAATGTGTTTGTGTGTACCACCTTTGCATCCCATGTAGCCTCTTTAATGACACCTGACAAAGAAATAATAACATCACAAGCCAAATATGTCGATGTCCCTGCCTACACACTGAAACCCCACAGCTAAAGCTCAACTCTCACTTGACTTGTGCAGGTCTCATTCATCCAGTCCTATGCTAACTACTTCCAGAGCATATTCAGTTTTTTGTATTATTTATTTACCTTGGAGATTTTTAAGTAAAGCAACGTTTTCTTCAATAATTCAACGTAACCCAGGATGAGTAATTGATACAAATGGTAATTGTATGAGTGAGCTATTCTTTTAAAACAAAAAGATACATTTACAAGATGAGAATAATAGAGTAGACTGGCCATGATCAATGCATAATATATTGGGGATTTCTCTGCAGCACCACAAAACTGTATTTAAACACATATTTAGCCCTACAAATATTGTGCTTCGTGCTATTTGAATATTGCATTTATATTGCAATCATGTTAATTTAGCAGGCCTACATGGAGGAATAAGCCATTTATTTCTACTCTTTGGAATTTCTTGACGACAATCAAAAGATTGGAGGGGGGGGTAACCCGACATGACTATATCTGACTCAACAGGAGGAGTTGTTGGTCGGTTACTCACCTGGCCAGTCTGTGGCTCTCCTTCTGGAACAGCAGGTGCAGGTTCAGCCCCTCCAGCAGGACCTGACTCTGGACCTGATACTGCTGCGTGGGGGAGTCGGGGAACGAGGTGAGCAACGCGTTGACGTTTCCCAGCAGAGCACCGCCCTGACAGAGGAGTGCATCGTGGTGGAGACATGGGCCCAGAGAAAGATAAAGAAATGTTACTAAAGTCACAAGGCAGTCCAATCCATGTTAATTGTCCCACCGTATTTCATATCATAGAGGCCAGATAAAGAAACAATATTTGTTACATATGGGTGGTACAAAGATTTAGATAAAGGCTCCAATTTCATGAAGTGCAGATTTAAAATGTCAAACATGGGCTGACAGAGAAATCTATTTAAATATTTTAAAGAAGATATATTAAAATGATAAATAACAAATGCTACAGTTTAAAATGTGTACAGCCTGGAAGCTGACCCGTCTCAGCACCATAAGGATGAAACAGCAAATACAAAGTCTATACGTTTTCTGTTGTCGTTGAAGAAATCAGATTGTATTGTTTAGAATTTGAAGGCTTTGTGCTTTAATTGCTGCTCGACACTCTAATTGTACTGAATTGTATTGCAAAAAACTGAATATTATTCATATGGGACTAATACATTGCTGCCATTGTAAAGCGTAAAACCAAGAGCTTCAAATATATAAAGCAAATGGGTGAGATGATATTTGTGATTATTTGTGTAGCAGAGTAGTTGATGTTACCTGCATGGAGCACTCCATGACAGAGACGGCCATGACAGCGTCCTCGATGGTGACCGTCTCTCTGAACATGAGCTTGGCGTGGGCTGCAGGTGAGAGAACAGTCCTGTCAGAGTGCTGCACTTCAGCTGCCTTCACTTATGTTAACACATTTTTGTTCAGAAGCATTTTGGTTTGCCCTAAGAAACTGTGTGCTATTACATTTAAACAGATACAATTGTTTTCTTTAATACACGTTGTTTTCTTAGTAGTTACATTAAAGGGGACCTATCATCAGGGTTCTTACACCTTTTCCAAAGTCAAATTCAAGCACTCTTCAAGCATTTTCAAGGTGCATTTTCAAGCTTTTCAAGCATCTTACAGCTGTTGTAAATTACATATTTATATACACATACTTATACTCAAATGATTATTTCCCTACCTCACATTAAATCAGATGTTCCTTATGCTATAAACAACCAAGGACTGTTGACCTCTGGGTGAGTGCTGCTTCCTACCTTCACTGGACTTACTAACAATGGCTAATCCCAAACTGTACTGCTTTTTCCTTGCGTTATTCGCCGCCTCCCTACCCCCTCTTGCGCATAACAAATGCAAACCGCCACTACTATCATGTGTGATTATGAGGTCTCTACACAAGATGATTACGTTACATTCCACTGTCAATGTGCACACAAAACAAACTAGGCATTGTGACTCACTGCCAGCTCTTGGCCGTGCTCTGATTGCATTACTACTGATGATATCGGGCAATGTGCATGTTCATCCTGGACCTTCTATTGTATGTAGCCCTAGTTCTGACCTGTGCCCTGATGTCAATCTTTGTCACAATGATCTGAGTTTCCCTGACTTCTGCTCTCGTAAAGCTTTAGGTTTTCTACATGTAAATGCTAGAAGCTTACTGCCAAAAATTGACCAGATAAAAGTACTCGTTCACAGCTCAAATCCGGAGGTACTTGTCATCAGGCCGGAGCGGAGCTGTTTTATGTAAAAGCGAAGCAATTAAGCGCGCTCCGACTTCTTTATTTTCTTTTAATCTAAAAAGCGAAGTAAAGCATTTACAATTTCAAGCACTTTATCCCAAATTCAAGCACCATTCCCAAAATTCAAGCACTTTTCAAACCTTGAAAACACCTCATACAATTTCAAGCATTTTCAAGGATTTCCAGCACCCGTACGAACCCTGTATCATACAAAATGCACTTTTGTACGTCTTTTCTACATGAATATGTGTCCCCGGTGTTCCAGGGAACTCACCAAGTGTCAGAAAACACAACCCTCTCTATTTTCCTCCATACCCAAATCTCTAAAAAAGGGGCTGCAACGGATCTGATAAAAACTGATCCAGATTTGAACACTGTCCTGACGTCAGGACGGTGGCGCTACGGCTATTGGGCCAACTCCACCAATCAGGAGGAGACAGCCACGGCCATTGCCGTTCGAAAGCGCTGGAGCCGCTGTAGTACATATGCCAGGCCTGTAGGTGGTGCTGTTCTCACTGAATCTGCCCTTGCAGAGCAGAGCTAAAAAATGTCAAATTGAGCGAAATGAGGCATGGCTAAAATGCATGATCTGTTTGGTATTTTGAAAAAAAAAAAAGTATAAATATGCCTTATATAGGTATGGTCCTACACTATATTATTCAAATATAGCATGATAGGTCCACTTTAATGAAAATAAATGTAGCACAGGTTTCAGCATTCACCATAGTGGTGAAGGAATGAGTGTTTTTGGTTAGAAGCCTGAAATAAGGTCTGTGGTTGAAGAGGTGTTCATGCTTTGTTCTAGGACATAACATATGTCAGTAAACGCCCGACTGGTCCATGTCTGAAGCTTTTATGTATATTATAGGTCTCAGATATATACAAACATGTCTCTGAAGTGTTTGGCTCCAAACACCAAACAGATCATTGCAGCATCCCATAATCCCCTCTGTTTCAGCCCTGTTTCCAAAGTGCTGATTCTCTGTCTGTTCCTTTAGATGAAAATAAGGAGCCCCTCCCCACGCCCCTCTGAGAGATATTTGGTTAAAAAGAACACCATGGTGCTCTAGGAGGAGATTCAGGTGATAAGGTGTGGGGGGGGGTTACCTTGGTTGGTTATTGGCTAATGGTTACACAAGCCAAAACATCGTTATGACATCATAAAGTGGATAAAATCTGATCAGCTCATTTTCAGACAGGTTTTTATATAAATGGATCAGGAGAAAAAGAGAGGGGGTCTTTGTTCCTGAATCTTTCAGAATCTCTTTGCACAGAGGGGACACATGTTGATGTATAAAAGACATGAACAAGTGGATTTTGCATAATAGGTGACCTTAAAAGGGTGTTAAATAACATTTGGTGATGATTAATGGTTTGTGTGTTCATGTAAGAGCTGTTAAAACAGACTGGTCAAATTTCACTGGGAACACCAAAGTAACGGCCCGTCCACACAGCAGCGTGCGTTGAAGCTTGCCGGCGGGGGGGGCTGAAACTCGACCGACAACCAATCACATGAATCTACCGCCCCGGACACACAAGCACGCGGTTTGATTGGCTAGAGCTTGTAATGGCATATGATTCGATTGGCTGGCGCTTCCGCCGAAGCTTCAAAAGTTGAACATTGCTCAACTTTTGCAGCGAGCTACGCGAGCAAAGCTACGCTTCGCTTCCCACAATGCAGTTCGGCGAAGCGTGACGTCACCCCATTCAAAGTGAATGGGCAGAAGCGTTGAAGCTTCAACGCACGCCGCCGTGTGGACGGGCCGTAAGTGGGGAGAAAGGAACACGACAGGAGGGTTAAGAATATCTGGGTCCCAGTGGAGTCAGGACCCCCCCCCCTCACCTTCTGCCAGCCTGCTGAGGCTCTCCAGCATGCGGATGGTGGTGCGAGCGGCGTTGCGGCCGTCGCTCTGTCTCTGCAGCTGGTAGTAACGCGTCAGGATGATGTTAGCGTCCTCGGACATCTGCGGCTGTAAGCGCTTAATCACACAGAAATAAGCCTTGATCTTCTCCATGGACCACAGACTGGCCCCCTCAGCAGGAACACCTTGTGATTAAATGCACAATAACAACAATTCAATTATTAACCTTTCTGTTGTCCTGGGGTCAAATGTTGACCCATTTCCAAATGTTGTTATTAAAGGTGGGGTAGGTAATTTTGGAGAAACCAGCTCGAGATCGCTAGAATTTGAAAATACACAGCAGGAACAAATCTGCCACTTCCTTACAGAGCCCCTCCTCCAACACACACGAACGCGCACATGACCAATGAGGGCACGAGATAAGTTTGTGCACAGATGGAAGGCTGACAGGCAGATAGGCCATCCAGTTATTTTAGCCGGGCCGGCTAAAATGATTGGTCGTGCTTTTTACAGTACTACGGCTTCCACAGATGACATTTCTTTATGGATTTTTTGTCAAAGCACTTAAGATATTCATTGCTATCGGGATGTTAAGAGCATTCCATGGAATATAACAAAAAGTGTATCTCGAGCCGGTTTCTCAAACTTACCTACCCCACCTTTAAGTCAAAATGTGTTTTTTTCTATCCAATTGCCACAAATTACATGGATGGTTCCATACTACGTTCTTCACAAGAAAAACGAATAATCACTGCTTCGAGTGAGTGTTGTTTTATTCAAATCATAGCCTCTGTGGTCAATTTTTATTGAATTTCTATATCAGTCAGTCATTGTTCATCAACTCTTTTCCTCTTCGTTATTGCTTTAATCATTTAGTTGTCAGATGGCAGAGCCGTTCCTGTACCTTTCTCCTCCAGAATGAAAGAGGAGATGACGCGGTCCCACTCTGGGTTCCTGGTGTCCAGCAGAACCAGCACCAGGTCGAAGCGGCTGAGCAGCGGGCTGGCCAGCGCCACGTTCACTGACAGCGGCTCGTTGGGGTCGTAGCGCCCCTTAGGGTTGGTCGCTGCCAGGATGCTGGTCCGAGTGTTCAGCTTACACACTATGCTGCAGAGGAGAGAGTGGAGATATAGAACAAACAGAAAGGTCAGGCTTAGGGTTGATGCCCGTCCAAACCTTGCTTACCAACCATATTTAAGTTTTGTCGAAAAAGGGTAGTTGTATTAAAAACTGATTCGGACAGATTTCAGTTTTTCACAGTGGTATAAAATAACTAAGATTTACTCGATTACACTACTTAAATACAATTTTGATAGACTTGAACAGTATTTCAAATGTTTTGCTACTTAGTACTTCTACTCCAATACAATTCAGAGGTAAATGGTGTACTTTGACTCCACTACATGTATTTAGTACCTTTAGTTACTTTACAGATCTGGATGAATGATGTGAAATATAAGCAAGTGTTAAATCAGACTTTAGTTCCACCTGGAGTAAATTCACAAGCTACCCTGCAGTATACAAAGTCATTCAAACTAGCTGCACCTTTACCAGCTTTGAGAACACTTTCATGATCAATCATTATAAAACATATCATATATATTATTCTGAAATGGACCAATCTGCACAATGACTACTTTTACTGTCGCTACTTTAACTATATTTTGATGATAATACTTTCCTACTTTTACTTGAGTAACATTTTGAATGCAGGACTTTTACTTGTAACAGAGTATTCCTACACTCTGGTACTTCTACTTTTACTTAAGTACAAGATCTGAGTACTTCTCCCACCTCAGATTTTTAATATGACAAGTGTATTTCTGGGATAATGTTGTAGAGGCATTGGAGGAATGTAGTCTTTATCTGTGACTAAGTTACATCATTGGTAATGTGTTTTTATTACATGTACAGCACTTTGGCTCGACCAAAAATCGCTTTTAAATGTGCTTTATAAATAAAACTTGATTTGATTTGATTTGATTGGTTGAATTGAGTAAGAACATTGCACCATCAGCTGTTGCTCTGTCATAATATTTAGGTGCGACAGTGTTTCAGCTGGTAACTAGTGTCCACAATCAATCACCTGATCCACTTCCTCAATACACACCCGGGTGTTCTCTTTCTGTAGGCCAGTCAAATGTTTGATTTTATCCATCAATGTTTCAAACATGATCAAATCTTGTAGTCGTAAGGGGTAGACGCAGTTTGGTAATGTAATCATTTTAATAAATGGAATATGTGAAAAGATAAGTATAGTGTAGGTGTAGCTGTGTAGTTAGTTGCAGAGAGGGGTTGCTGTGGCCCAGGGGGATGTGGGCATCTACCAATGGGAGGCTCAGTGGTTCGATCCTCAGTCCGTGCAGTCAACATGTGAAAGAGTCTTTGGGAAAGATACTTAAACTCCATGTTGTTCTCGTAGGCATTTCTACGGTATAGAATGGTATACAGTATATAGTGTGTTTAAGTCGAATAAAAGCGTCAGCTAAATCACATGTAATTTAATGTGTTGACAAGCAGATGACAAATGTTCAGTTAAATTGTCAGCAAAGTTATCCAGAAGAAACACTCTTCATACAAATCTTACATAAAATGTGCTAATCCTCCCTTGCCATACAACATGTGACAAACTAAGGGAGTTGCTATCGGTTTGAGTGACCATGTTATTAATCATCATGATATTTGGGGCCTTCTGGTTGGGGGCAGTATGACACTGCTAGACCTTATAAACCTTGGAAGCACTAAACCCCATAATAACCAGATGCCTGCGGGGGTTCTTTCTGTGAGTGTGTGTATGTATGGCTGTCCTACCCAGCTTTGGCCACACTGATAGACTGCTGCTCCATAGCCTCGTGGATGCTGATGCGGTCATGTTCCTTGATGCTGTTGAACTCATCGATGCAGCACAAACCTCCGTCCGACAGCACCAGGGCTCCAGCTTCCAGGTGCCATTCTCCTCCATCCTTCACCGCTGCCACAGTCAGTCCTGGTAGTGTCAACACATTCAGTCAATCCAGGTATACATGTCAGGAATAATGTCACAGCTGGATCTGGAAAAACTCCATGCTTTTATCTTCAGTAGACTCGACTACTGTAATGGTGTCTTTACAGGTATCACTACAAATGGTATTAGAACGCCGCTGCTCGAGTCCTCACTGACACTAAGAAAGTGGATCACATCACTCCAGTTCTGAGGTCTTTACACTGGCTTCCTGTCTGTCAAATAATTGATTTCAAAGTACTGCTGCTGGTTTATAAAGCATTGAATGATTTAGGCCCAAAATACGATTCTGATTTTCTGTATTAGCTTGTTTTATGTTTATTGTATTCTCTTTGCCTTTTAATGACTGATTTTAAATGCCTTTTTATAATGTGTTTCCGCTGCACTATTTCTTAATGCTCTTTATGTCTTTCATTTTTGTAAAGCTCTTTGAATTGCCTTGTGTTGAAAGTGTCTATAAACAAACTTGTCTTTCATGAAATGATGATTGGTTTGTATTTTAACTTGTAAAACTCTTTATGTTATAATATCAGATCTCAATGACACATTCTTGATTAATAGCTAATATGAGACACTGAAAACCAACCTGCACTTGTTGATCCAATGCCAGCAGTGAGCACGGAGCGAGGCATGATCTTAGCGGCGTACTTCAGGAACTGAGACTTCCCTGTACCGGGGTCGCCCACCAGCAACAAGTGACACTCCCCTGGAGACCAGATCAACTTATTTTACAATGACTAACACCAACATACAGCAAATACATTTTCGAACACAATTTCCATATTGTCATGTCCAGGGGTTGTCATTTGTTGTTTCTTATTGTTTGTCAGTCTCCGGGGGGCGGATCTTATCTGATACGAGTCATAGAGAGAGGGTTCTCCCCAAATAGCTGTATACTCCATGTTGTTTTTAGTCCACACAGTGTACACCCCACACAGTGATTGGGTTTGATCCTTAGAGTAGATCTAATTAGCTGCTGAGCTAACCAACTAAGCTGAATGCTAGCATAGGCTGATCTCAAGGTTTACATTCAATGTATGTTAGTTAGTCTGTATCAGTTACATAGCCCAATGGTTACTTACTTCATTTGAAAACCTGTGAAGAAAAAACATGTAATATTTGCACATATTTGCTTGTAATTGTGTAACGTGTATGACTCTGCGTTTAAAGCACAGTGTACAGTCGTTTCCAGAATGCAATAATAATTCTATAATAATTAATGAATACAGAAATGAATCACATTTGTGCTTTTTCGTTTTACTATTGTATCATCAAAACAAACTGGCTTTAAAAGTGTTAAAATTGTGAAATTGAATAAAAGTGTGATAGTTGTTATCAGGACTGAAGTTTGTTAAAATATTAACTTAGTGAAGATAATATTAATGAAGTCAGTTTTTTAAACAGACATTTGTCCTCTACCATCAGATAACCCTTTTTGTTAAGGGGTGCACAAGGGTTCATGTCAACAGGAAAGAATAGGGGTACCTCTGATCTTTGTTCCAGAAGAATCTATCCTCTGCACTCCGCCAGCCAACACCATGGCAACCGCCAGCTTAATCACGTACATGCCAAACACCTGCGGGCACAGACTCAACAAGACCTGATTCCTTCCTACAGAGAGAAAACAGAGAATAACATTTCATATAAGTGAACAAATAAAAATAATAGCTGTAGAGTGTAGACTTTTGAGGGATATGAGGCACGCTCTTTATTACCGGCTATGGGATCATGTTGGTAGTTTTTCCAGAAGTCTTCAAACTCTTTCTGAACGTCCTTCATGAGCAGAGCATTGGATGCCTGCTGGTTGTTCACCTCGATGTTGTTAGCTTTGAGCACCAGCTCCACATCACAGCGGGCCGCATCATAGAAGGGCTTCCAGCGCTGACACATCACCCCGTAAACCGTCACATCGTCTCCTGAGAGCCACACAGCACACAGTTACTGACCAGAGCTGGGAGAAGTACCTAGATGTTATACTTAAGTAAAAGAAGAAGTACTAGAGTGTTCTGAATACTCTATAATTAAAAGTTCAGCATTCAAAATGTTACTCAAGTAAAAGTATAGGCATCAAAATATACTTAAAGCACCAAAAGTAAAAGTACTCAATTTGCAGATTGGCCCATTTCAAAAGTATATATATTATATGTTTTAATATTCAAAATGTAGTCATATTAAGGAAGAAGAGTGTAACCTATGTATGAGAATGTTCTGTTTGGGATCACTGTCAGGTATTTGGCGAGGTGATTGTGAATTTGGCTGCCAGAGAACTCACAGCTCCATCGTTTCACTTTTGATAACTGGACTTATAACTGGACTTTTCTTCACCCTGTACATTCTACATTTATATTTAATTTAATATGCCTTTCCTTGTTCACTTAAAGTGGACCTATCATGCTATATTTGAATAATATATTGTAAGGCCATACCTATATAAGGTATATTTATACGTTTTCTTTTTCAAAATACCAAACAGATCATGCATTTTAGCCATGCCTCATTTCGCTCTATTTTGCTCTCCTCCACCCTGTCTTTGCATGCACTGCAGCTGACCACGCCCCCCTGCAAAGGAGGGGGCCGAGTTATGAGCGTCATGTTACCATGCTGTTACCATGCCACGGCAACCTTTCATTCCCCTGATAGGTCAGCTCCTCCGTCCTTACATCAGAGAAATGTTCAAATCTGGATCCGTTTTTATCAGATCCGTTGCAGCCCCTTTTTTAGAGATTTGGGTATGGAGGAAAATAGAGAGGGTTGTGTTTTCTGACACTTGGTGAGTTCCCTGGAACACCGGGGACACATATTCATGTATAAAAGTGCATTTTGCATGATAGGTCCCCTTTAAATGTAAATACTATCCTACTTATATCGTGTTAGCTGTAATTTGGCCCTTCTTAGTGTTTATTTGTCAGACTATAGATTTCTATCTTTCACGGTCATCTTTCAAGATCTTTTAAACGATGTGCAATGCCTTGTTTTAACATGCTGCTGTAACAAGAACATTTCCCAATTTGGGATTAATAAAGTATATCTTATCTTATATTCATTTCCACATAGCCCCAAGGCTGTGTGGAGGAGCTGGTATTATGTGTCATCTGTCAAACTTTATTTACAGTGTTCACATTATTTACGGTCCTTACCAGATTTACAACTGTCTACAAGGTCATCCTCCAGAACCACCACCACGGACCGAGGGATACTGCCCACCGACAGCCTCTGCACCTGTAGCGATGTTGTGGGGGGGATTAAAATCCAAAGACACTGCAAATGATTGAGATGAAAGAAAAAGCAGTAACATGTGAATCTGTCCTACCTGCTCTTGGATCTTGATCTCCTGGAAGTCCCTGCAGACGGCCGGCTCTGACCCGCCGGACAGACACATGAATTTGAACGATTCACATCCATCAGGACTGGGACAGGCCGACGGCGGCACAAAGGTGTAGAACTGGTCAAAATCTGCCTGCGCCGTGAAGACGTGGCGACACTTGGAGCACATGTAATCACGCTCGTACTCCAGAACCTTTGAAAAAAGGGGGACAGATTTTTGTGAGCTCAAACAAGTGTGTGTGTGTGTGTGCGCGTGCGTGCGTGCGTGCAAGTAACAACAACAGTTAGGTTAGGTTATTTTTGCCCAAAGACAATTGGTGCTATAACATTTAAAGAAATAAACGTATTAATTGAAACATATTATTTTGTAGTAGTTTACATGAAAAAAATGAATAAAGCACACATTTCGGCTATTTTAAATTATAATTTAGAGTGCAATTTACCACATCCACTTCTTTATTCACAAAAAATACATAGACTATGTCAGTAAATACCCCACTGGTGAATGTCCAAAGCTTCTATGTGTCATAACAACAGTGGTTGCTAACAAGCGACTAAATGAGACTGCTCTCACACCGAACATTAGCCACCTTTAGCTTAGCGGTGGTGATGCGCAGCCATGCTAACGTGACAATGCGCCGTTAGCTTTTGACTTCTGTCGATTGCATTTCCGCTTCAAAGATCACAAAGTGGTGTTAATATGTGGAGATTATCCTGCTGGACGAAACGTGACGTCATCACTGCACCACTCGATTACAGCAACTTGGTGAAATCTGAAGATGTGACATGCTGTTACCTTGGCAACACTGGTGCGTATGACAGTCCCAGTGACAGACAGAAAGTGTCCCACGTCTCTAGACCTGGGAATAGTGTCTCTGGTCAGCTCTGGACACACCGGGAGACCTGGAACACGTAGCAGAGTCAAAGAATAACAGAAAGGTTTCATTAACTCATTCAACAGGAACATCTGAATTTAACACCATGACATTTCTAAAAACACTAACAGGCATCAATTCAATTACTCATAGTTGTATATATATACCTTCACCTCATGTGAACTCTCTATCCTGTGTTTCAATCTTATTCGTGTTGCTGCTTAAACACCTGAATTTCGCTACGGGATCAATAAAGGTTTATCTTATCTTATCCATGTAAAGATTAAAACGTGCCCCAGAGACAATGTTTAAAAAATGCGATAAATACTTAGCCAAGTTAGTTATTAAATCATTTCCATATTCTCATTTTAAATTCTTTTAGGCTCTTGAAGGACTTATTTTGGCGAGCTCATGCTTGTGTTTTATTTTATTTCTTTTTCAACTAATGTTATATTAATACAGACAATTTAACAAAAAGGTTACAAGAATACAAAGTTAGTTTGAGGTTGAAAAGCAGAAATACAGCTTATAATGAATAACCCCTCCTTTGAGTTATCCAATTTCATTGTTTTTGGTCAAAGGCCTCAAATATTATAGCAAAAATAATGACAAAAGTAATGTTTTATTAATGAAACCTTTTTTGTCAGCAATCATCTAATCGTGAATAATCTGTGTTAATGCAGTTTTGGGCTTTAATGCACGTTTCCATTTCAAAGCATGATGCTATATCCGTAACACCAACAGCTAACAGCTAGTCATTTCTAGTCTGCAACAAAGTACACTGCATAGGAATACATTATTTCGCCACAGACTGAAAATGAAGGTCAGAAGAGAGGAGAAAGTCATAGTATGTGATACTCTGCTAGCTCTGAGCAACACGTGAACATGATTCCGAGCAGTGTGTGACCTGTGATGCGGGCGTGAAGAGTGTGTGTCATTCCCTCTTTGGCTCGCTGCTTTGGAGAGGCTCTCTCTGATAACTCCACGGCTGTTTTTTGCAGCACTTTATCAAATATAGCCAGGACATCATTGGGATAGGCGTTGAAATAATCCCCAACCTGAGGTTTAATAGAGGGTGAGAAAGAAATGACCAAACAACAAAACATAGATTTTACATATATTTGTACATTTTGTTACGCAAACACTTCTCGATTTTGAACATAGTAGATTGTATTTGAATTGTGTTGACATTACCTCCATATTGGCTTCAAACAAAGTCATGGCGTTAACAACCACAGCGCGATGGGTCTCTTCATCAGAGTCAGCGAGTAGGTGGAGGATGTCGCCATGGTGATGCTCTGTCAGGTAGCTTTCAAACACTCGGCCAATCAGGGCTTCCTGATCCGGGCTTATCAACATAGTGACGTAACGTGATGTGAAACCTGGAAAATAGTCATGAGCAATGCAATGGTCAAGGTGTGACATTCATATTCCCCGTGGACATACAAATCTTAAAAATGCTTAACAAAGTTCATAACAAATTCATTAATGTTATAAATATGTACATGTCTATTCAACAATAAGATAACTGTGCATGGACTCTACAGCAGGGCTTTCATTGGAAATCAATATAACAATTATCTGGCAGGAATTTCCTTTTATTATATTAATATACACTCACCGGCCACTTTATTGGGTAAACCTTGCTACCGGGTTGGACATGGTAAATTTGCCTAAATGCATTGAGTTGCTGCCATGTGATTGGCAGATTAGATATTTGCGTTAACGAGCAGTTAGGTGTACCTAATAAAGTGAGTGTAGATCTTCTGTTTTATTTCTAGATACCTAAGTACCTAAGATACAACCCGTTTTGTCCTCGTGTAAACGGCACCTACAAAACGGGTTGTATCTGCTACTTTTCTCTCGCGTATAGCCCGTTCGTTCACACGAGGCCGACACGGAAACGCGGAAACGGACCCCGCAAAACGATAACGGGTCCCAAGGTGGATAGATCTGCAAACGGAACACTCTGGGGGGGGAAACGGCTCCGTGTGTACGCCTCTATACGATCATTTTCTGATAACGATGAAATAGCCCCGCCTCCCTCTCCCCACGTCTCCCTCTCCCCACGTCTCCTGCTCAGAGATCAGCTGCTGGGCTGTCAGAAGAGGGGGAGGAAAAGAGAGGCTCCGTTTATTATTCTTATATTATTATATAGAGTCGTTATCAATTTGTTTTAAAGCTCAATAAATAACAAAGAAGACCTCTGACCGGCACTTTTCTAATTTTGTCCGGAAGATTTAAACTTTAATGGACATGTTGACCGGCGAAAAAAAATGTTAACTGAAACTCTGCTGCACGGTCCCCTCGTCCCTTGGAAGAGGCGGAGAGGTGGGTGTTTTTCATCTGCTGGTGGACTACCGGAGAGAATTACAGCAGGAGCACACGCCGTCCACCGCGGAGAATAAACAGAAGGGCAACCATGGCAACCATGCTCCGGGGTCTTCTTCGCTGCTTTTGGTGTATTTTGTGGCGGCAGCAGCACCACTTACAGGCCCGGCATATGTACTACAGCGTTTCCAGCGGGTCGAGCGGTCTCGTGTGAACGGACACGTTAATTGAGCCGAATGCGTGTGAACGGAAGACTTTTTTGAAAACGAATTCGGTGCGTAAACGCAAACGTACCCGTTTCGTCCTCGTGTAAATGGGGCCTAACATCTCGATTAATTTTTTTTTTTCAAATCAAACCAAAATACCAATTTCCAAAGACATTTGGTTAAGTAAGAAAGAAAAAGCAACACATCCTCTCATTGCTGAAAGTGGTGATCTGCTGCATTTTTGCTAGAAATAAAAAAGTATTGTTTTTTTGCCAATGCAATTGCATCAATTTACTGACTTTAGATGTCAGTTTGAAAGAAAATATTATCAAAAACTACCCAATAAAAACGCTATGTCAGTGTTATTCAATAATATATTAGAATGACGCATGCTTATAATAGACACAACTTTGATTGTTATGGAGTATTTATACTATTGGTACTCTAACAATAAAGCATGAGTGATTTGATATTCCCTCTCTGGCATATGACACCGAGCATACAGTTTCAAGAATGAACATAACATTGCTCACTGCATAACAATAACATGTTAGATGTATTAACAGCTGTTGTTAATCACAGTGAATATATTTTTTAAACACACAGCAATGTGTGTTTCTAACAGAGGTTGGAAAAGTACTCAGATCTTGTACTTAAGTAAAAGTGATGGAGTGTAGGAATACTCTGTTACAGGTAAAAGTCCGGCATTCAAAATGTTACTCAAGTAAAAGTAGAAAAGTATTAGCATCAAAATATAGTTAAAGGAGCGACAGTAAAAGTAGTGATTGTGCAGATTGGTCCATTTCAGAATAATATATATGATATGTTTTATAATGATTGATCATGAAAGTGTTATCAAAGCTGGTAAAGGTGCAGCTAGTTTGAATGACTTTGTATACTGCAGGGTAGCTTGTGAATTTACTCCAGGTGGAACTAAAGTCTGATTTAACACTTGATTATGTTTCACATCAATAATCTGTAAAGTAACTAAAGGTATTCAATAAATGTAGTGGAGTAAAAGTATAATATTTACCTTTGAATTGTAGTGGAGTAGAAGTACAAAGTAGCAAAAATGAAAATACTCAAGTAAAGTACATTATCTAAAATGTTTACTTAAGTACAGTACTTGAATCGACCAGGGGTGAAATGAACTGATAATATACAGATTCAAATATCCAACATGTAATAATATTAAAGGTGTCTTTGATGAATGGTACATTGTAAATAATTATGCGCACCTTATCTGAAGTGTCTAATTAAAGAATAGTGCAGTGCGCACAATTTTAATTAGGACAACCTGTGATAAAAACACGTAACGTAAGTTTAGGAATGGAGCAGTTAAACGTATTTAGGTTAGCCACGCAGACTCTTTGTGGTAAAAACTTGACCTCAATATGGGCAACATTACTGAATACAAACAGAAACATTCACAAACCGTATTTTACAGGGCCAGGGACATGTCTGCGTAGAGCTCCTCATTCCTTCACCGATGTAAACAAACCACTTGTCTTGTATCGCGCGCACAGCTGTGGTTGGCTGCATTCTTCTTCTTTTGTTTTAAAGGCAGACTACAAACGAACTATGACACCACCCAGTGGACAGACCGGAGTATGTATTATGTGAAAGACCACTTTCTCATATATGATTACAAATATATATTATTTTAATTAAATGTTATTGTATTTAATTCTATCTAATTTCATTTCATTCAAGTTCCATAAAGCATTCATCTGCTTGAATCGTGAAATGTATGTCTTTATTTTTCACTGTACAATATTTAATTGTACATGATGTCCTTGTCTATCTTATTCTACTTATCCGATACAGACTCCTGAATTTACTTGGTCACTTAACCATAACCTCAGCCTTGAAAATGTATCTTTTTATTTTCTAATAAACTTCCTGTACTTTTTATCTATAAAAACACCATTTAACACTTATCAACAATTATATTAAAACAACATAAAATAATACAAAATATAATCTGGATATTATTTAAGCATGAAATGATTTTGAATCACTTTAATAACACATTTGTGTTTTTAGATTATTTTATTGATAATCATAAAAACATATGAACAGAGTATTGGTGGCAATACCAGTCACTAAGATAAAATAATGACTGTAACCATTAGATGAAAAAAGTGGACCAGAGATACCTGCAGCCCAATTTGTAGCCTGTAATGATAATAAACGCACCTTTCATGCAAGATGCAGCCCAAAGTGTTGAAGATGCCCATTAATGTGTGAAGTTGAGTTTAATAATTTGAGAATCTATCTGTATTTTCTCTTGTTTTGAAAATACTGTTGAAATTACCAGTGCAGGCAATTTTCATATCAGTCATTCTCCAGTAGGGGGCTCTACGGAACCGTGGTTTCCCATGGATTGGTTTAGTGCCGACAGGAGCTCAATCTGATATCCACTATTTTTCCTTGCAAAGAGGCAGACAGTAGTAGTTGCATCACAGCCTGATGTGGAACTTCCTGGTCAGGAAGAGCTTTTCCCGAGAACCAGAAAACGCTATTTGTCAGACTTCTCTTCGCTAACTCAATACACAATCTAGCCATTGGGTTCCAACGTTATTTCGACTGTGTTATCTCGCAGTGGTCAACAGAGAGGAGGGTCATTTAAGGTTAATAACACTCAGAGTTAGCTCCTAAGCTAACGTTAGCTCTGTTTTGCTCTCGCTATGTCCGCCTCGGCTGGATGCTCCCCGGTGGGTCAGAGCTCGGGCCTCGGCTCCGGGATGACCATGTTTCGCTGGCTAGAAGTGCTGGAGAAAGAGTTTGACAAGGCCTTCGTGGACGTGGATCTGCTGCTCGGAGAAATAGACCCAGATCAAGTCGATATTACGTACGAGGGTCGGCAGAAGATGACCAGCCTGAGCTCCTGCTTTGCTCAGCTCTGTCACAAAACCCAGACGGTGTTTCAACTGAACCACAAACTAGAGGTTAGTACCTCTTGTGTACAATTCAACCTCAAAATGAATTTTAACGTTAATATAGTCATCATTCAATCAACTGGCCTGACCGAAAACTGATTGGTGTTTACGTCATACCTATCACTCTTGTTGTGGTAACGTTCTGCCATCATGTCATGTGAAAAGCCTCAGTCAGTGCTATACACTTTGACTAACTCAAATACAAATATAATTTTTATAACAGGTGTTTTACTGCCACTGTCCACAGGCACATTTAGAGCTCTAACGGTTTGGTCGAATAATCGATAAGCTGACAGACAGATAATATTGACTTAATAAGTGTTTCAAAGTGCGAAAAATGTATGTAAATGTAGTTTATATTCTCTGAAATGTGAAGGTGTTTGCTTTTCTCTATCAAATGTCATGTCAAATAAGTATCTTTGTGTTTTGAACTGATATTTAAAGATATTTTAACACATTTTCTTGCACTTTGAGAAACTGGGATGGAAATGTTTCACTATTTTCCGCCATTTTATAAAAACATGTTAACATTTTGTATTGATTAATCTAATAAACTATCAAGATAATGTTTGATAATGAAAAGAATCGAAGGTCTACGGCACCTAACAATTATTTAAAGGCATATGTCCCTGCTGTATGCCACTTAAACACACCATGCCACTTCAGTTTTTCCCTGGCAGATACGTTGTTAAACTGGAAATAGAACAACACATCTTAGGCAGCTTTTATTTATGTGATACACGGTATACGATGACGCACAACATCTCCTAGCTGAATTTGTTCAACAATGGAATGATGGACACGTTGGTAGGAAGAGCTTTCTATGGAACCATAAAGAGTGCGTTACACCCTGCTGTGTGTTCAAGGATGTGAGTTCCTGAGGCGATGTTAAAACAAGCAATGAAATGTATTGCACTGCAGCACGTTTCTGAGAGATGATTCAATAACTAAAATAAAAGAACTACGTGTAAACTAGAAGTTAATGTGTATAGTCATTAAAGGTCACCTATTGTGCAAAATCCACTTGTTCATGTCTTTTATACATCAACATGTGTCCCCTCTGTGTAAAGAGATTCTAAAAGATTCAGGAAAAAAGATTCTCTCTCTTTTTCTCCTGATCCATTTATATAAAAACCTGTCTGAAAATGAGCTGATCAGATTTTGGCCACTTTATGATGTCATAACGATGTTTTGGCTTGTGTAACCATTAGCCAATCACCAACTAAGGTAACCCCCCTATCTTATCACCTGAATCTCCTCCTAGAGCACCATTGTGTTCTTTTTAACCAAATATCTCTCAGAGGGGCGTGAAGAGTGGCTCCTTATTTTCATCTAAAGTAACAGACAGAGAATCAGCACTTTTGAAACAGGGCTGAAACAGAGGGGATTATGGGATGCTGCAATGATCTGTTTGGTGTTTCAGCCAATCAGAGACATGTTTTGTATATATCCAGACCTATTGATGTTATATATATATATATATATATATATATATATATATATATATATATATGTATAATAGGGAAGTTAATAGTAAGCTACTGAAACTACAAACAATTTATTTGCATAAAATATTTATTTCTGCAAACTAAAGGTTTTAAATAAATGTAGTAGAGTAAAAGCATACAATTTACCTCTGAATTGTAGTGAAATACAAGTTCAAAGTAGCAAAATGAAGTACTGAAATACTCAAGTAAAGTACAAGTACCTCAAAATGTTACTTATGTACAGTACTTGAGTAAATGTACTTAGTTACTTTACAACACTGCACATAAAAGCTTTAGGCATTCACCAGCGGGGTATTTACTGACGTATTTTATGTTGTAGAACAACACGTAAAAATCTCTTAAGCTTGTTTTAACCTCTGACTAACAAACAAACAACACCTTCAAAAACGGTTGAGACCAGGGGACAGGAAGTGCTAAACTGCTCAGTCATTTCCAGGTTGTAGGACTCGTTCCTGCACCAGTGTTTAGTCAGACCGGACATATATCTGACTCTGATATCCTGACCCCCCCCTCCAGGCTCAGTTGGTGGACCTGCGCTCTGAGCTGACGGATGCGAAGGCGGAGAGGAAGGTGGTGGAGAGGGAGGTCCACGACCAGCTGCTGCAGCTCCACGCTCTGCAGCTGCAGCTCCACGCCAAGCAGGGCCAGACAGAGGACTCGGACTCCATCAAGGAGCGACTGGTGAGAGCTGCTGGCACTGTGCCCTCATCTGATAGAGGCACTATTGATTCAGACACGCAGGGAGGGGGAGGCTAGTATTAAATCAAACAAAGGTTCACACTGGAAAATAAATGTTGACTTTAATGAAATGTATTATTATGTTGCTGCCGTATTGTGTGTGTAACCACTATTGGAATCAATACGTTAAAACAACATATATACACAGTTGATTTATCCAGGTTGGTTGTTAGTGTTTGAGGTCACACTTTGTTTACTTCATGCAGGAGGTGTGAGCTTGCTTTATCTGTCGGGATTGTTTTACAGGGTTGTCTTAAAAGGCAAGAAATGTAATCTCATCTAGAGAAGGAAGAACACCTGCACACTGACAATAACCTATTTAATATTAATACAGGACAATATTAAAAGGCTTAATTTAAATGCACATTTGAACTATTTGTATTTAGTTTCTAACTGTATGTCCCATGTTGTAAGTTAGGTATCTTGTATATATATATATATACAACACCAGATATACTCAAAGACATCTGGATTTATAGATTTTTATGAACCATTACACTGTGCTAATGAAAAATAATAATACAAAAATAATAAAAAAGGTTCATTTAACGTGGGGGATATATATATATTTGTTTACAGTTACTTTATTTTAAAAGGAAATAAATAAAAGAGAAAAAGAAGAAAATAAATATTTGTTAAAATCCGGGCATTGTACTACAACATATAACATCATTATTACAATTATTATATACAGTGGTGTATGTTGTGAAATATATATATAATAAATTACTACATTTTACATTATATTTATCACATCTTGTCTGTATTAAAGTTCAGATTTAATACAAACAACAATACCTGTATTAGATGAAAAATACCATGACTTATGTTTCACGACATTTGTACAACACATGCGATAACACATTTGAAAAAACGTAATCCATATTTATGTAAATATTGAGCGCACAGATGCTCATGTTATTCTCTTTGTGTTAACATGATCACTACAGAACCTCTGCATCGCAGTGGGCTGTTCTGTGGATATTAGGGCTGTACCCGAATATTCGTTCGTTGGAGTACTATTCAGGTTTCAATTAAGTTATTCGGATATTCTTTTTTATTTCTTTCGTTTTTTAAATTGAATTGATTGAAAACTCCAATATCAACGTAAGAGCTTGTGCCTCTTCGGGGGGTGCTAACACTTAACCATAAACGTTATCGTTTACTTTCTCCGTCTTTATAATGTAGATATTACTTTTTCTCCGTTAATCTCCGTCACGTTGTTTCCATATCAACAACAACTTCCTGTCAAAAGCGCTAACTCTCCTTCAAAATAAAAGCATGACCATACAAAATAGGAAGCCAAGCCAAATTACACTTAAAGGGGACCTATCATGCAAAATGCACTTTTGTACGTCTTTTATACATGAATATGTGTCCCCGGTGTTCCAGGGAACTCACCAAGTGTCAGAAAACACAACCCTCTCTCTTTTCCTCCATACCCAAATCTCTAAAAAAGGGGCTGCAACGGATCTGATCAAAACTGATCCAGATTTGAACACTGTCCTGACGTCAGGACGGTGGCGCTACGGCTATTGGGCCAACTCTCCACCTATCAGGGGAATGTGGGGTTGGGCCACGGCCGGCCATTGCCGCTCGAAAGCGCTGGAGACGCTGGAGTACATATGCCAGGCCTGTAAGTGGCGCTGTAGTCTGCCACAAAAGCAGCGAAGAAGACTTCCCGCACATGGTTGCCATGGTTGCCCTTCTGTTTATTCTCCGCTGTGGCTTTTTTTCTCCCTCCCCGAGGCAAGCGTTTGCTCCCGCTGCTGTAATTCAATGCAATCCCTCCCCGTCGAGGCAAGCACTGTAATTCTCTCCGGTTAGTCCACCAGCAGATGACAAACACCCACCTCTCCGCCTCTTCCAAGGAACGAGGGGACCGTGCGGCAGAGTTTCAGTTAGGTTTTCTTTCGCCGGTCAAGATGTCCGTTAAAGTTTAAATCTTCCGGACAAAATTAGAAAAGTGCCGGTCAAAGGTCTTCTTTGTTATTTATTGAGCTTTAAAACAAATGAATAACGACTCTATATAATAATATAATAAAACACGGAGGACGGAGATCTCCCCCCTCTTCTGACAGCCCAGCAGCTGTTCAGAGCACGCTCCCCTCCTGCAGGGGGGCGTGGTCAGCTGCAGCTCACAGAATCAGCCCCCTGCAAAAACAGTGCTGGAAAGAGCAAATGGAGCGAAATGAGGCATGGCTAAAATGCAGGATCTGTTTGGTATTTTGAAAAAAAAACTATATTTATATACTTTATATAGGTATGGCCCTACAATATATTGTTCAAATATAGCATGATAGGTGTCCTTTAAGATATATACAACTGCAACGAAAGTAACAAACACAATGCAATATCCTTTTCAATTTCAAAGAACACAAATTTGGTTATATACATTAAGAAATAACTATGAAACAACAATACTGTAGAATAACAAAATGAATGCCGTGAATAAACCGAAATACACGTGTTGAAGCGGTTCACTGCTGATTACTACGCACCCCCCCCCCCCCCCAATGCAAATCATTTATCATCAAAGAAACACATACTAATATAATTCCTTCACTAATTGAGATGGTCCTTAATAGATTACTGAAGTCACTCAACAATCGTTCTAACATGGATTCCTCGTGACAGCCGAAAAGATTTAGACCAGCCTGATGCTAAGCTAACAGCTAGGTCACAGCTACGGTAATACAGTGATGATGTGGTCAGCATCAGTCCTGCTATGCATTAGAGAGGTTTTCCTTATTGAAACAATGACGTTACACATGTTGGTCAGGGGAAAATAGACTTGATGCCTAGAACTAAATGTTAGTTGCAGTATCATAAATGACCAGAAGGGGAGCCAGTGTGAGCTGCTGCTGCTGTGGTGCTTTAAACTCACTTCCTGTTGCTTCCACTGCAATTGCCTATGCTTCAATAACTGGGACTGCTTCAATTCCTTTTTTCCAACCTATGCATATTCTTTGAAATGATCTGCCACTTGTTTTAATGATTCACTTGCCATCTTTGCTGCTTGAAATGTACATTTTTCTAATCTTTGACTTCTTCCTGTTCTTCCTCTGCCTCTGAAAGCCTGCAGCTACTTTGGACGAGATGGTAAGTCTGTCTATGGGTTTCATTGTAGAAAGTAGATTGATTCAAAATAAGTTATTTGAATTGCATATAGATTTTGTAGCTACACTGTACGCAACTAGGGACTCTGATTCTTAAAGGCAGGAGTAAAAAGGATTTCATGAATTCTAGCTGACTGTACACAGCCAGGCATTCAGTTCTCAATGAAACAATAAAGGCAGGATTCATTCTACTGAATTCAGCCATGCAGTACTAGAATCTTCGAGTCACCATTAACCCGACTGCCTTGGCGCTGGAATAGAGTCGGCAACAAGACTTTATTCCCCCCCCCACTTTGACTTGGTCTTACAGCGAGCCTGGTATTAAGGTTATGAAACAATGGCGATAATATCTCAACATATGGCCTCTAACATGGCCATTAACCATTCAAATCAACCATCAGTCATTCACATACAATCAAAGAGATCTGAAAGTCAATCAAATGTCATTACAAATTGGGTTAATGACTCTGTTTTGAATTATTTTCTAAAATATTTATTCAAATAAGACCAGTTGTTTGGTTGATGGCTAGAGTGTAGCTGCAACATAACGGTCTCTATCTTTTTCATAAATATAAGTTCTGTGTCAGCAGGAGTCAGAACGTTCCCTTAAAGTTAGCAAACCCCTTTTCCTTCATTTTAAAAGTAAGAAAATGCTCCTCACAAGAGAACCGCGCATTTGACAAGGCCTTTCACTTTCACTGCTTTATTTGTAGCTCTGCGATGTAATCAAAGCTGCTACCATCCACCCTGCATCATTGTCCTACACCCTGGTATCAGGACGCTTCTACTGGCTTCACCATGCACTATATGGATTCCAAATATTCTTGCTTACTGCCCTTTGTAATTCTCTCACATTGACTATTTAACTGTCTGTAAAACCACACTACAACAATATGATTATCTAGTATATCTAGAGCAGGGGTGTCAAACTCAAGGCCGGGGGGCCAAATCCGGCCCGCGACTTCATTTTCTGTGGCCCCGCAAGAGCTCTGAAAGAATATTATATGTTTATTATACGATTACATGCCGATTTACAGAAGCACGTTGCCCATAAACTACATGTCCCACAATGCATCTCTCATTTGACTTTTTCCTCAGAATTTGCCTTTTTTTTTTTTTTAAATATGCCTTTTTCTTAGTTTGCCTTTTTCTCAGAATTTGCCTTTTTTTCAAAATGTAACTTTTTCTTTTTGATTTTAACTTTTTTAACCAGAATTTGGCTTTTCTTTTTAAATCATTTTGTGACATTCTCACTGAAGAGACTTGCAATTATTTGCCCTAAACTTCTGCTTTCAGACGTAGTTAATGATGAAGTTATTACCCTATCCCATAATAATCCAATGTAGAGGCAATAATGTAATATAATACATTATTTTATATATATTAAATATTTATATATGTATTTTTATATAGTCTTAAAGTTACAACCGGCCCTTTGAGTGCAACCATAATGCTGATGTGGCCCGAGATGAAATTGAGTTTGACCCCCCCTCAGTTTTCTGTGCTGAGGTGTTGAGTTTCCTGTTTCCTTTTTTTCCTGATCTGCTAATGGAGACTTTCTGCGAATTAAAGAAATATCAATAACATAAGACTGATGGAAATCATCTCTAGAGAGAACCATTCAATATCCTGTTCAGCGTTGTATTGGGCTGGACTCTGATTAGACATTTGTCATCCTCTGACTACTCATGTGTTCATAAAGCAGGCACAAATCTTTCAAAACCGCTTTGCACCAGCTGCTGGTGAACATAGTAAACTCATTTATTTACTACGTACTTTCAGATATGCTTTTTGCTTTTACATTCCATTTTGGATCAAATATAATCTTATTTAAACACATTTTTAATACATTACCTGTTAGCTTTAATTGAAAGTGTAAACACAGATAAATGGAATCTGAACAAGGGCTTAGTACAAAAAAGAAAAAGAGATCCCACTTGGACATTTTGCCAAAATCTAATTGTCATAGCTTAATACTGAATTTAAAATGTCCTTATTACAGTGACTTTACTGGATCCAACTACATTTCTCATGGATTAAGATTCATGTTTTAATCACAGAAAACATTCAGCCCAATCTGATTCCGAGTGGGGTCTTGAACTCCCCACAAAGGTATTGATTAGATTGAACGCTACATTTTTTCCCATGTAATGTATATAAATAAACTGGTAGAACAAATGCCTCTGCTAGGTGGCGCTGTGAGATGAACAGCATGATCTAGCTCCTGCTGCTCGTGGTGTTCACTGAGGATGTTCTTGTTTCAGGAACAGGAGCTGGTGGTCAACAGGAAGGATAAAATAGCGGAGGCGCGGCTGGAGGTAGAGATGAGGCTGTTCAAGAAAGAGAACGAGGCTCTGCGCAGACACATGGCCGTGCTGCAGGCCGAGGTGTACGGAGCCAGGCTGGCAGCCAAGTACCTGGACAAGGAGCTGGCTGGAAGGTGAGGAGGAGATGTCATATCTCTCTAGGTCGTCCTCAGACGAGCCCTCCATCGTCGCTTCCAGTCATCCCGGTTCTCCGTATAGGACTTTTGGGATGACTTTGGTCATCATGGTTGACTTTACTATGCTGATTAAGGACTGGGGGGCGCAACTCCTCTCAGGACTGGTTTTAGTTCAGAGTGTCCTTCTCCTAGATGGGTTGCCTTCCATGGCTCCCCATCTGCCCGGGGAGCATTGTAGGGAACGGGGGACACCTCGGTAGCACTTGGTCTTGCCGGGACTTGAACTGGTGACCTTCCAGTTGCCAAGCCAACTCCCTATCGACTTCGCCACCACCGCCCCAAACATGGTTTGCTAATAAGATACCATGTCATTTTGGTATGACTTAAACCAGCTTAAACATCGGAAGCAGACTTCACTGTTTTTCCATTTGCAGCCATTGCAATATGCTTCCAGCTGAGCCTTACATCTGGATTCTCCTTATTTATTGTTAATGTACTCTGTGTACATTAACAATAAATAAGGAGAATTATCCAATTGTGTTGTTTGTTACTGATTTAGTGCAAAGAGAAAATACAGACAAAGACATTTAAAAAAACATATTATTATAAAATCAAATCTGCAAGACCTCCACTCTTTTTATGGTGCAAACAAATCATCATGAACAACCAATTTACTCAACATTACGTTGACTGTAATTCAAGTTGATGTTGCATATTTCCCTTTAATGATCTATAGATAAATACAGGGCCAACCTTACCTTTAAAAAGTAGTGTTTGACGAAGCCTCCTTCATACCTCCATCGCTGAGTCTGACTGCAGTACAAGGTGCACCTGCTCAGAGAAACTCACACACACTCACACACCTTTGGCCATCTGGAGCCATTTGGGGTTTAGTATCTTGCGCAAAGATTCACCGACATGTTGACTGCAGAGGCTGGCAATCGAACCTTCCTATTGGATGAGGACCTTATATCTCCTGACCCACAGCCGTGACATGTGACCCGGTATTTGTGACTTTATATCAAGGTGGCTAATCAGGTTCAACTGATCCAAGTACACATTCAATTAGTGAAAATGAATCGCGTTAATATTGTAATCAACACGATTCATTTTATAATTGATGGACAGCACTTAAAAATACTAGTATGTACTTTGAATTTTGGGAGGAGATGAAACCAATACACATGAGGTGTTGCAATAAAGAAATGCATGACAAACTCGTAAAAGTTGACTTTAATGAAATGTATTATGTCAACAGATTTCACATAACTGTATTACGTTATGAAACAATAATATTAAGTTTAAATAAAAAAACATTAGGTTCAACTTAATATTATTGCTTTCAACTAACCTTATACAGTTATGTGACATTTGTTGACATAATACATTTAATTAGGGTCAATGTTTTTGAAGGAGTAATGATAAAAAGCCTCTGGAAGATTGGAGGTAAGCTGTCCTTTAATACAGATCATGTTGTTCATCCTGTAGTGCACTGTACTTGCTAAATGTGAGTTTCCTTACGTTATGTTCTTTAAAATCAGGAAGTATGGCGTCCTCTAAGCTGCTAGTTTAGGATTTGTATTAAATTATTAATGAATTATCGGCATGAATTCCAACAATTATCTTTTATTAACTTCAAGAAACTGGAGCATGACTCAAAACACCACACCTAGTGTGGTGAGTGAAAGGACTGACAGCCTCCTCTCTTGCTCTGTGTTCCAGGGTGCAGCAGATCCAGTTGCTGGGCCGGGACATGAAGGGGCCGGCCCACGACAAGCTGTGGAACCAGCTGGAGGCGGAGATCCACCTGCACCGTCACAAGACCGTCATCCGAGCCTGCAGGGGGCGCAACGACCCCAAGAAACCCCTGCACTCTCCCGTGGGGCATGTGAGTGGAAACTACTGAGCGCTCAGGACCGTGGATACCTTCATCTGTGCTTCCAGAGCTTAATGTGTTGATATGATTACAGAATCCAAACATGTTGAAGAAGACTCAGGGGGTGGGCCCCATCAGGAAGGTGGTGCTGGCCAAAGACGACCATGAGGGGCTCGGGATCTCCATCACAGTAAGAACTCACCGCTGTCATCCTTCTTCCTGAATACGGCTCTGACCGAGGCAATCTTTAAAGTGGTCAATTTATATAGCGGTGCTGTGATGACGTGTTTTTGCAGGCCGACCTGGAAGTCAGCATCACTAGGGCTCTTCGACAAAAAGCAATGGGAATTGTCCTTTGGATTTTGGAATATTGAAAAGAATAAGCTCAATGGCAAAAGGCACTTATTTCTTAACAGGATCATCTCAGCATATTAACACCACTTTAACCTGTTACGCACCGCCCCCCCGGTACCGGGCGGATAAACGCGTCATTTGCAGGAAACAACGTCTAAGGAATCTTAATATTTAATAAACTATGAATGTTTTATATCCATGTAACAGGAAGAAACTCAGCTAACTGATCTTTTTAATTTTTTTTTCCAAAAAAACCCACAATGCTAGCACTCAGCCTCTGAATTATCCACGAGCGAAAAAATGTAACCTAAAACTGCACCTAAACTCACTCATAACTCCCTTATTACTTATCCTAGATGCACAGCCAACCCATCGATTAGCATCTCCTGGAGACACAGAATCTGGGGGTGCCCACCTCAACACTCAGTGATAAACATTTGGGACGCTATAAACGAAAGCGTACATCAGAACATGTGGAGCTAGGTAGCTAGAAACGCTAACATGGCTTACCTTGGTCAAAACTGGTCTTCAATGGCATTAAAACGATAAAAAAACGATGCTGCAGTTAATCCATAGGTTCATCCAATGTGTCTGTGTCCTCTTTGAAATGATTTCTGATAATCCATAAGCATTAAAACTGCTTTTCCGTTTCCAAATGTCAGAGCGAGAGATCGGTCCACTCTGATGCAAAATTACATGCGCGAAGCCCCCACATCTTCTCTTCACAATGTGTGTGTGTGGGGGCCTCCCCCTTCGATTCTATTGGCTCTAACAGTCAGAAAGAGGTGTCAACCATCCAAATCGAGCAAGGGGGGCCAGAGATATGGAAAAAAAACTATTTTCACCCAAATCACCTCAGAGGTGGAGTGGTTTTGGCTAAACCTCTCTAAAAAGGTCAAATGTCACTTGTTTTGCATCAATCTTGATACAGGGTACTTATTATATGTTGTACTTTGGATTCCTAAAGCTTTTAGTCTACTAACCCATCATCCAAGGGTAGTTTTCACTATAAGTAAAAAAGAATTTTTGGACAGACACTATCATTTACAGTTTTTTACTATGTAAAATCTGAATTTTCTTTAAAATAAAAAACATTTATATTGATTCTGACACTTCTACATCCAACTCACAGATGTAACCTTGCTTTGATAAAAGAAATTATTCATATAACCCTTTTAGAAGTTAAGTTGTAGTCATTTGTTTTGGGCATGTCATTTTCGAGCCTGAAACAGGTTAAGGATTTTTGCTGCAATGAAAAAAAAAAAAAAAGAGCTTAAACCACATCACAGTCACATGGCTGTGCATCACCTACGCTAAGCTAAAGGCAGCTAATGTTTGGCGTGATGATGTTGTGACAAAACGCTATTTTTATCACACATTTAACATTCGGACACTCACCAGTGGGGTATTTACTGACATGTCAGAACAAAAGGTTAAAGTCACTTCAGCTTGTGTTAACCACAGATATTATTGTTATTATATTATGTATGTTGCAAATGAATGCAAACACACTGAAAATACTGATACGTTGACTTTAATTAAATGTATTATGTCAAAAGACTAACACATAGCTGTATTAGGTTAGTCGAAACAATAATATTAAGTTTAAATAAAAAAACATTAGGTTCAACTTAATATTATTGCTTTCAACTAACCAACTACTTTGTTCAGCTTGTAGTGCACTGTTCTTGCTAAATGTGAGTTTACTAACGTTATGTGCTTTACAATCAGGAAGTATGACTTCAAAGCAGCTAGCTAAGGATCTTGACATATAGAGAATATAACTCCTGCTGTATAAGGATGCTTTCAAACAGCATCTGACATATCTTGTCCTGTGCACATTACACGCTGGCTTGATTATGGTTCCAATTGTAATGGTATAGCAGGTCCTGGATGATCCACTTCTTAACCAGCAGGGTAAATAACATGTGAATAAAGAGAAAAGCGAAATTGAATTAGGCATGAAAAGTGCAGAGATCGCCTAATACGAGTACTTTTTAGATGAGTTTAACTCTGGTTCTGTCTTCTCCTCAGGGGGGGAAGGAGCACGGTGTTCCTATTCTCATCTCTGAGATCCATCCCACCCAGCCTGCAGACAGATGTGGGGGTCTGCATGTGGGGGACGCCATCCTCGCCGTCAACAGCATCAACCTGCGAGACGCCAAACACAAGGAGGCCGTCACCATCCTGTCCCAGCAGGTAACACAGCACACACACATCTGTAGACACACACACACACAGACACACACAGACACACACACACACACACACACACACACACACACACACACACACACACACCCCCCCTCTGTGCTCACTGCCTGTGTGTGTGTCAGCGGGGACAGATAGAGTTCGAGGTGGTGTACGTGGCCCCGGAGGTGGACAGTGACGATGAGAACGTGGAGTACGAAGACGACAGCGGACATCGTTACCGCCTCTACCTGGACGAGCTGGAGGAGAGCAGCACAGCGGCGCCTAGCAACAACGCCTCATCACTGCAGGGTCAGTTTCCAAATAATACAACATTTATTCTACATTATGGACTTATTATATCAGTATCGTTGAAATCATCAGGTCATGTATTAAGTTCCTGTCTTTGCTTTGGGCAAATCGGTGTGAATTTCAATGCGAATTTCTCGTAACTTTTATTCTTCAATAGAAACAAGTAACAAGTCACAGTGAGTCTCCCTGAATGTAGTAACAGTTATTCTCTTTCCAAAAAGAGACACTTTTATGCTACAATATACTCTCACTTTACAACATTTCAGAGGGAAGTATTTTAATATTTGCTCTACAGCTGTAGTTACTATTTACTTATTTACTTTTAATTAATGATGCATACAATCTGCACAGTGCTCACACATCGGCCCAATTCCAATCCAGCCCCTTCATCCTCTCCATTTTTGCATTTGTATGGAGGGTCCTGATATTATAATTAAAAAGAATTCCTTAGGATCATATATATCCATGTCTCGTCTCAGATGCTGTCGATTTGTTCCCTTGATTTGACTCAATGTACATCTGAATCCCCCCCCCCCCTGCAGCTCTGGAGAAGATGACCCTCAGTAACGGAGCAGAGAACGGAGACACCGGGCTCTCCAGCGTGACGACTTCAGAGGAATCCCCCTCGAAGCCCCCGGAGAGCGACGGCTCCTCCTAGAGGCTCGGGGGGGCCGTCGGGATTCGGAGATAAAAAGAGGAGTGGGGGGGATTACGTCTCTCAAAGAACTGAATCAAAGACATAGAATTCTGCTACACACCTAGGGACGAGGGGAAATGGCAGAGTTCTGTTTTCCCTCTTTCCTCTTGGTGTTCAGGGGAGGGGGGATCGGGGGGGGCATGTGGCAATGATTGGGGCAGACGTACACATTTTAAGAAGTTAAATGCGTAGAGGAGGGAGGGATACTGAATCATGTTTGACTTTTGTCTGAATATTTTATTAAGATCCTGATGGATGTTGACAGGAAGTACATGTTTCCGAGCTGGAGGCACAGTGACATGAGAGAGGAAGTTACTGAAATTGAAAATCTGTTTTTGAAAAACACCTTTTAGAGTGTTTTCTTGTGTTTGTATAGTTACTATTCTGTTCTCGGCAAAAGTGTGAGAAGACTGTGTCGTCCTACAGAGACAGAAACCAGGAACATATCTTGGAAAGGAAATAAATAAATGTTTTTTAAAAGTATGTTGACAACCTTCTAGCTAAAGCTATCCAGGCTCTTTCACATGAGATGTTTAATCAGATTGAAAACAACCCTGTGAAATAAATACCAAATGGAGAAGTGCTGTAGAATGTTGCCAATATGCTTTATTTACACATTTCAAGTCAGGAAGGTAGAGACAGTTGAATAATGTATCGGGGTCTAACTACCACATGAAGGAACGTCATAACACTAACCGTTTGTCCGTTTAAAAGGCTCTCCACTGCTGCCTGTGTTTGTCTTATTTTACAGACACTCTATAGCCGCTTTCACACCAAGTACTTTGCCGTACTTAGTGCCAGCACTTAGTTCCCCCATGGAACTAAGTACAGATCGCGTTCACACCGGAATAAGTTCCCTGAGGGAAGATTACGCAAATGAAGCCGCTGACGTCACTTCTTCTTCTGCTTTGGGTTTACTGGCAGGCCGCAAACAACTTCACGGCGTATACTGCCACCCGAAGTCCCCGGCCGGAAGTCCCCGGAGTTGGGGACTGGCTTCAGTAGAAGCTGCTGGGACTTTCCAATTCCAGGCACTATCGGAACTAAACGGGAAAAGTACGGGTAAAAGTACTCCGGTGTGAACGCGCCTTTTAGGTTTCCTTTAAAGGGATAGTTTAGTTGTTTTAAAGTGGGGTTTTATAAGGGTCTTATCCATGGTTTGTTTATTGCCTACAGTAGATACCATCAGTTTAGAGGGCTACTTTCAAAATCTATTGAGTATCACAGTGCAAAAGTAACCCGATTACTTTCCGTTGCTTTTGGATTAAGTTATATAATAATAATATCAAATGCAATTCCAATAAATAAAAGAGAAAATAAATATCAATAAGGTGTTTTTTTATTTAAGTGTATTAGAAAAGATGAAACCAAGATTTTTAGGATCAAACATGTGTCTTTTTAAACAATAGAATAATATAGTTCACAAATGTTAAACTGATTACACGTTTCTTTAAAATAACTAAGGGAATACAGTTACTTTTTTTGTATCCTGATTAATCCTGAGTACACTTAAAAAAAATGCAAAGTTGACTTTAATTAAAGGTGGGGTAGGTAATTTTGGAGAAACCAGCTCGAGATCGCTAGAATTTGAAAATACACAGCCGGAGAAAATCTGCCACTTCCTTACAGAGCCCCTCCTCCAACACACACGAACGTGCACATGACCAATGAGGGCACGAGATAAGTTTGTGCACAGATGGAAGGCTGACAGGCAGGTAGGCCATCCAGTTATTTTAGCCTGGTCATACTTTTTACAGTACTACGGCTTCCACAGATGATATTTTTTTATGGATTTTTTGTCAAAGCACTTCAGATATTCATTGCTATCGGGATGTTAAGAGCATTCCATGGAATATAATAAAAAGTGTATCTCGAGCCGGTTTCTCAAACTTACCTACCCTACCTTTAAATGTCAACAGATTTCACATAACTGTATTAGATTAATTTAAAGCAATAATATTATGTTGAACCTTTTTAAAACGTAATATTATTGCTTTCAACTAACCTAATACAGTTGTGTTCAACTTCATTTACATTACATGTTAATTACATTTCATTAGAGTCAACGTTTTTTCAGTTTTTTCAGTGCAGTCTCATTATGTACCGTATATTTCAAATGATTCATTTGACTTTAGGGAGTTGCTGGTTTACCCTGCCTCCATCGGTTAGTTTGTGTGTTTAGTTAGTTCAGATTCAAAGTGACACACTAACAGAAACAGGTCTACAGATATAATCGCATAACATTGGAAAGAGCGTTATGACAGCAAAATCGAATATTCTAAATATAGTGTGCACCTCACCAGGCTTGGGGGGTGACAGATTTCGTGTAACAGGATAATGTATTAAGGATAAAAAGGTAACTGTATTCCCTAACAGTTACATAAAAAGGTATATTTACTGACTGAATTTCATTTTTGGATTACATTCAGGCTACTTTCAGTCCTAAATCATTTGTAAGTGTCTTATTTTCTACGGTCACATTGTTCTGTCTTACATAAAACACTTAACATCGTATTGTTATTTATTTGCATTGCATTTAGTATTGAGGTTATCCAAAAGATAAGATTAAAGGTGGGGTATGTCATTTTGGAGAAACTAGCTTGAGCGCGCTAGAATTTGAAAGTACATTACCGGAAAAGATCTGCCCCTTCCTTCAGGCTTCCTTACAGAGCCCCTCCTCCAACACACACGAACGCGCACATGACCAATGAGGGCACGAGATAAGTTTGTGCACAGATGGAAGGCTGACAGGCAGGTAGGCCATCCAGTCATTTTAGCCGGGCCGGCTAAAATGATTGGTTGTGCTTTTTACAGTACTACGGCTTCCACAGATGATATTTTTTATGTATTTATTGTCAAAGCATTTAATATATTCATTGCTATCGGGATGTTAAGAGCATTCCATGGAATATAACAAAAAGTGTTTCTAAAATAAATGACATACCCCACCTTTAACAACATTTTTTTACATGTAACTAGTAATTGATTGTAACAGAATACATTTTTAAAGTAACCCTACACTGTTATTATTCTTATTTCATTTAGGTGGTATAAATATATGAATCTGCTGCCCCTGCCCCCGTACATCAGTATCTTCCTTACAGTATCTCCCGTCTGCTTCACACTGTTCTGATTATGGATGCCCCTCATGCAGCCACTTTAAAACAGCACGACTGTCCCTTTAACCGTCACGTTGATTCCCAAATCTCAGTTCTTCATAGTTTGTTGTTCAGGGAGCCCTTGCCAGCCTCTAGCAAAACAATCAGAACTGTGCTCCAGGACCATTTGAGGCTAAAAGAGCACGTCCTTCTACTTCATCTGCACTCAAAAAACTGTAACTGACTTTTATTAAATGTATTATGTAAACACATTTCCAATAACTGTATTGGGTTAGTTGAAAGCAATGATATTAAGTTGAAGCTATTATTATTGCTTTCAACTAACCTTATACAGTTATGTGAAATCTGTTGATATAATACATTTAATTAAATTCAACGTTTCAGTTTTTTCAGAATAGATATTTTTAGTTAAAGCAGCAAAGACCCTCAGAAAGACATTATTCACCTGCGTCCTGGAATCATGTTTTATTTATTATCTGGTGACTAGATGTTCCAATGAGCTGTTATTCTGCTATCGTTTTTTAACATTGTTCCATCACTAACATATTGTGGCGTATGTTGAATATACAGGGGTGGGCACAATAACACATGTATGCAGTGGTGGCATGTAACCAAGTACATTTACTCAAGTACTGCACTTAAGTAAAAAAATCGAGGTACTTAATGAGTATTTTCATTGAATATACTTCATACTTTTACTTCACTACATTTTGCAGGCAAATGTTCTACTTTTCTCTCCACTACATTGTATTTACAGATTAAGTCAATTTCAGGCAATCATTATTAATATGTGTTTATCTTCACTGTGTGTTGCTGTATTTTATTATTGTTTTTATTGTAGCATATCGCATTTGGTCACACCTCCAAGTGTGATGTGGGCGCTCCATTAAACTGCGAGTCCGATCCCCCCCCCCTCTCACAGGCCTAACAGTTCTCCGTTTCATGCAACACGTTATTGTGCCCAGCTCTGTTTCGTTATTTTTGTTATCCTTGTTATTGCTTTGTGACTTTAAAGTCACATATTTCGTGCATCTTATTAAGTAATGTATTCATGTCACATAATCTATTGAGCATTTAAATAAAGGTTGATTCCAATTTGGTTATTTTGTATGACATTTTGATATATAACTTTTGTTTTAAGATTTTCTCTTAACTTAACATTTGTTTAAACTCTCTGGAGGTGGGGAGTGTATGCAGAATGAGACTCATAATATTCTTATTCACCACAAATATATGGTCACAGACATATGCTGTTTATAGTACAGCAGTACATGGCTAGTTTCTGTTACATTCTGCAGGGATTACACTGACTAGATCAATACCTAATACATCACCACTTAATCACATTTCAAGCAGCAGCGACGTGGAAGTAGCTGCAGCAATAGCAGCAGCAAGCAATGCATGGAGAGAGATCAGGCAGGTTAAATAGAGCGGCATATTAAGGAGACTCTGTTTGGTTGGTTGTAGAGTGGCAAGGGGCGTTATGTATGAAGCGTAAGTGCTCCAGTTGACTGCCTGAACTAGCTCGCAGGCTTCGCCCCATTTATTGCCAAGTTTACACATGAGGAATGTGCTTGGTGTGTTTGGTGCATACATTCAAACATTGTAAGAAAAGGACCATCAAATAAAACAATGAATACAAAAAAATATTTTAAGAAAACTATTATAACATTAAAATATAGCAAGATCTACATGGAATATAAATTAGATATAGATATAAACGTACAAATAAAATAAGACATAATGCACTATTAAACTTATATTACACACTCAGCCCTCCAAACATGGCTTTCTTTCTTAAACCTCCCCTATAATTGGATAGAAAGGAACTGTGCTTTCCTCCTAAACCACAACAGAGACATCACCATTTACTTTGATTTGAATCTTCACCTTTCTTCTCATCCTTTTTACTCATGTCAGGTTAAAAATGTGAACTCTACAATAGATACAACTCGAAGCAGTTAGATATTTTGGCTTTCACTTGGTTATAAGAAGACTTCTTCTTCACTGGGAATCCAGCACAGCCCCTTCCAGCGCTCAGTGGCTTAGCGATGTGAAGTCTTCCCTGAAACTGGAAAATATGAAATATTCTCTGAGAGGCGATCCCTGTAAGTTTACACTAAGTGGCAACCCTTCTTAACCATCTTCAAATCTCTTCCATGTTTGTGTCTGTCAGTTTGTTAATCACTCTCTTACAATTTGCAATAAGACTATTAAACACCTGAGCTCTGTTAAGTGCTCCGATAAACAGCCTTTCATGACTGAGGGTTTTGTTTCTCTGGTAGGGAGCGATGAGAAGGTGCATATAAAAATATTAGGCGACACCGGTGCATTTCACTCATTTATTTTAGCGTCTGCTTTACCGTTTTCAGAGGACATGTACATGGGGTTGTTTGTTCCAGTGCTGGGAATGGGATTGAATGTTCTTCAGGTACCTCTCCATACAATTATGCTGTTTTCGGATCTGTTTCAGGGTGAAGTAGCGGTTGGCGTGCGGCCAGCTCTGGGGTCACGATGATCCTGGGGGTACATTGCGGGTAGTCGGGTGTGGGCTGATGGGGCACCTCCTGCTATCGTGGCTCCAGTGCCCCTGGATAGTAGTAAGCCAGACAAGAGCGAAACGGAGTACCCTGACGTGTTTACAGCATGCGCTGTGACACGGGCAATGAAGCGTGGTCAGGCGGAGGACATGAGCTCAGCTGAAATCGATGAGGCCTCACCGCAGCATGGTGTGACGTGTCTCGAGATTCCCTGGTCGGTTTCTCACGGTGAGCTGGTGGAGGAACAGTGTGCGGATGCGTCTCTAAAAGGTCTGATGGAGAGTGTTCTGCCTGGTGGGGAGGTGAGAAATCGTGCTCGGGGGTATTTTTTTCAGAATAATGTCCTAATGAGAAAGTGGGTTCCTCAGTTGAAGCACTTCGTTGGTGAGCCGGTTTACCAGGTTGTGGTGCCTTCCGGGTTCCGTGCCTTGGTGTTGCGGATGTCCCACGATGAAGCCGGCCATTTGGGCGTCAGGAAGACGTACGACCGGATCCTGAGGTATTTATTTTGGCTCTTATTAAAAAGGGATGTGTCCACTTACATTAAGTCATGTCATACTTGTCAGCTAACCAGTAAGCCTAACCAGATCCTGAAACCTGCGCCGGTGTATCCGATACCAGTTACAGGTCAGCCTTTTGAGCATTTCACTATTGATTGTGTGGGCCTGTTACCTCCTTCTAAATCAGGTGCTAGTTACCTACTGACAGTGATGTGCCAGAGCACAAGATATCCGGCGGCATATCCTCTACGCACGATTACGGCCAGGTCTGTTGTACGTGCTTTGTCGCAGTTTTTTTCCATCTTTGGTGTTCCTAGGATTATTCAGTCTGACCAGGGGTCGAACTTCACGTCCCATTTGTTTGCACAGGTGTTAAAGCAACTACGCATTAAGCACAACCAGGCAACTGCTTATCACGCGCAGAGCCAGGGGGCGTTAGAACGGTTCCACCAGACGTTGAAGTCGATGTTGCGTGCGTATTGTGTCCAAATGAACGGAGACTGGGAGGAAGGTTTAGCCTGGCTGTTGCTGGCGGCAAGGGAAGTTGTCCAGGAGAGCACAGGGTTTAGCCCCAATGACCAAGTGTTTGGTCATACGGTGCGGGGCCCTTTGGCATTGTTGCGGGACGGTTGGACCAAAGACAAACCACCTCAAAAGCTGGCTGAGTATGTGAGTGGTTTTAGGTATAGGCTTTTTAAAGCCCAGGAGGTGGCTAAGAGCAATTTGACCTCCGTGCAGGAAAGGATGAAAAAAATATATGACCGCCAAGTTGAGAAGCGTGTTTTTCTTCCGGGATATCAGGTGCTCGCTGTACTGCCAATTGTGTCCTCCCCATTTCAGGCAAAGTGTTCTGGTCCATATTCGGTGGTGAAGAACGTTTCAGAACTGAATTATGTGATAGCGACCCCTGATCGTAGGTCCCCTACTCAGCTCTGTCATGTGAATTTGTTGAAGCCATACTTCACTCGAGCAGCTCAGTCAGCCAACCGGGAAGGGCTGTTGCCCGGTGCCCACGCGACGTGTTTGTCAGTCTCTGCGTCCCATCAGGCTGTGGCAGAGCAGGACGGACAGACTTTGTCGGGCCCCGATGATGCTATCCTTTATGGCCGGCAAGAATTCAGAGTCTCTGCAAAATTTGGATGGTTTGTTTAAGCATTTGGACGTTGCCAAGCGCAAGCAACTAACTGATTTGGTTAGCCGTTATCCGTGTTTGTTTGGTGATACGCCGACTCGCACGCATTTGGTAGAGCATGATATAGATGTTGGAGGTGCTGAACCCATTAAGCAGAGGTTTTATCGTGTGCACCCAGAGAAACGCAAGTATCTTGATGCAGAGGTCAAACACATGCTTGACAATGGGATTGCTGAGCCGTCCTGTTCTAGCTGGGCCTCACCCTGCCTGCTGGTGCCGAAGGCAGACAACACTCCAAGATTTTGTTCAGACTTTCGTAAGGTCAATAAGGTTACAAAATCAGATTCTTTCCCGCTTCCCCGTATGGAGGATTGTATTGACCAGGTTCGATCGGCTAAGTTTGTCAGTAAATTTGACCTCTTGAAAGGCTACTGGCGGGTTCCTTTGTCTAAGAGAGCACGGGAGATTGCCGCGTTTATTACACCCACAGGGTTATACTCTTAATGTGTGATGCCCTTTGGTTTACGAAATGCGCCGGCGACGTTTCAACGCCTGATGAACAAGGTTGTCGGAGATCTGGAAGGATGCTCGCTATATCTGGACGATTTGGTCGTCTACTCGGATGACTGGGGAGTCCATCTTGTTCGCATGAAAAAATAGTTTGACCACCTGGCTAACGCTAATCTGACAGTTAACCTCGCCAAGTGTGAGTTCGCAAAGGCCACAGTTACTTACTTGGGTCGTATAGTGGGGCAAGGCAGTGTGTGCGGCGCACGCAAAGGTGCAAGCTGTTGATAACTATGCTCCACCCACAACTAAGAAGGAGCTCATGCGGTTTTTGGGGCTGGTGGGGTTTTACCGTTGTTTTTGCAGAAATGTCTCTGCTGTCGTTGCGCCACTCACCGATCTGCTAAAGGGTAACGCTATTATGTGTGGTCCTCTGAGTGTTAAAAAAGTTTTGAGAGCGTTAAGTCACTTATATCCAACGCTCCTGTTTTGGCAGCTCCACAGTGGGAGAAACCAGTAAAACTTGAAGTGGATGCAAGTTACATCGGCACAGGGGCGGTGCTGTTGCAGCCTGATGATTTGGGTGTGGATAAACCAGTTTGTTTCTTTTCAAAAAAGTTTACCAAACATCAGCTGAACTATTCAGTGATTGAAAAGGAAACGCTAGCCTTGATTTTGGCGTTACAGCACTTCAGTGTGTATGTTGGCTCGGTACCGGTTGTCGTCTTTACGGATCACAACCCGTTAACCTTTCTCAGTTCTCTACAGTGCCCTAACCAAAGGCTGATGCGCTGGGCCCTGATGCTCCAGTCCTATCATTTGGACATTCACCATATCAAGGGGAGGGACAATGTGGTGGCGGATGCATTGTCTCGAGCCCCCGGTGAGTAATGCCCTGTTAGTGTGGGTTATGTAGTCGCAACCTTCCAGTGTCCTGTTGTTTTCTCTCTGTTAGTTGAAAAACTGATTGGTTTTTTTCTCATTGTTGTGGGCACTATGTTCTTGGTAAAGTGGTTAATTTAGGTGCCAGGGTTCCGTTGGGGCCCCTGACTTTATGGGGGGGCTGTGACGGCCCCAGAGCCTGGGGCCTGTGAGTGTGCAGGTGTGTTGCAGGTCTTGCGATGGGGGTGGAGCTGAAGAGGCCAATCAGCATGACCGGGGACACCTGGCCGGAGCCGAGGTGCTACTTAAGCCCAGCTGCCCGGAGTCACATGGCCTTCATGACTCTCTCCAAGCCCGCTGCAGGAAGACTCTCGCCGGGATCCTTTCCCCTCGCCCATCCTCTCATGTTTCCGGTGTTGTGTTTGGAACTGTCACAATAAAAGTGCCGTGGTTTTTGGAATCCTCAAACGTCTCTCTCTTTTCCTGTTGTGGCCTACGGGCCGGTCAGAACAACTGGGGGCTCGTCCGGGATAAATAAAAAAAACAATAAAACCTATGAATTGAATTGTATATTCTTTGTTTCTGTTACGAATGCGTGTTTGGAGTTTGTATGCCTTTAAGAGAAAAGGAACAGGATGGCTTTTCAATTGACGTACAAGTTGAGACTAAGACGATCACTAGTTGTTTTTATTTAGTAACTGCAGTTCTCAGTGATGTACAGAAAGCTCTGTTCTATTTGCCATGTGTCTTCAATAAAGATATTTTAAAAAAGCAGTTTCTGTTCGCTCCTGTCCTACAGTCAGGGGAAATCTTCCAATGAAGTGGAATCCCGTCCCAGATGTTCCTCAGCGAACAACAAGTAATGCTGACTGTGCATTCTGTCGGCCAGCTCTGTGTTATGTCCATCATTCCTGCAAGTATTCTGAATCCAGTGTGTAAGGGATCAAACACATTCTTTAGAAAAATACTTTTATTTACCATTAACAAATATGATCAAACCTCCATATAGCAAAACAACAAGATAGGATTTAGGAACAACACTGCTTATAAACGTACATTGTTGGCATTCATACATTTTGTCAGTAAAAGTAAAATAACATCAAGCAGAAATCATTTCCTGTGTCGAGGAGCAGGCCATCCAGTGGCTCGGTTAGTTATATTACCGACACATATTAAAAGCTATAAATCATACAGTTTGTTTGATATATAAAGCTTCATTGAGAAATTATTTAATTTTCCAACTGGCCTGAAGCACTAGGAGACTAAAAGTACCAGAAAGTGCATGTGCTGCTTCACTTTCGCTCTTTCAGCTTCTTTGGCTGCAAGATTAGCATGACGGCTAATTGGAAACAATTAATGACACATTATCTATAACATGACGAATAAATGTGACTACTGACTCTCACCTGATGAGTCACCACAGATTGAAACCCAAATCATGGTGAGAACGCGCCATTTATTGCTTATTAAGACCTTTAAATTCACATGGATGAGATTTATCTAACTAGAATTGCATTTCAGTATCCAGCAGCAGGAGAGGTGCATGATCCACTGAGTGTTCAATACAAATGTCAATATGTATTTTCAACATGTGCATAGACAATTTCCTATTTAATGATCAGGCACAATAACTCTGAATATGCCTGTGCTTGTCCTATATTGTACTTCTTAAATATATATGTTCAAATACACAGTATTCATGTGTTAATAAGCCCAATTTTCAAATAAATTCAGCCAATAAAGTTGAGAACATTTTCTAACAAATCTTAGTTGATAGAAAAAGCCCAATAACTTATTCTCGTAACACACTTGAAATATACTTTTTGTAACAAAATAAATGAAACCCTATGGAGAGCTGTGATGTAGACTGTTCTTTTCTTAAAGCTTTCTATCAAGAATAATGCCCCTACATTTGATTGATTTTGCTATCTTATAACTGACCTTATGAGGCAATATACCTCACCTCTAGTGAGGGGTCCAGCCCTTCATATACGTTTCTGTATGTGGCCCTCAGTGAAACATTTTAGGACACCCCTGATCTAAATCGATAAATAACATAGTTTGGGCCACTAGTAGGCAGCGCAACAAGCGGCAGCTTTAATACTGATATTCACTCATTTAGATCTCACTTCTTAATCATAGCAACATTCCTCATTTGGCTCATATCCTCTTACATACCAGTATTAACAATAAACTTAATATAAAAAAAATGTAATATTGATATGGTAATACTACACATATAATGATATATTGTAAAGATAATGCATCCCTTTAATATCATTTCTGTTTCTTTCTTTCCGCATGCTGTGTACAGCAATAGGAACAGACTCCTCCTTCGTACATTTGCAAATACGACACAATACAAAAAAAAATAAAAGATGAATTTGACAGATAGAAGGGACACAGGGGGGGACACAGTGGGGGACACAGGGGGGGTCACTGGGAGACGCAGCTGTCCCCCTGACCCTGGGCGTAGCGCTCGGAGATGCTCCTCCTCAGGTCGTCGATGTCCCCCCGCAGCCGAGCCACCTCCAGCAGCTTCACCCTCAGCTCCTCCTCCACCTCCTCCCTGCTGTCGCTCTCCTCCGCAGAGACACTCAGCGCTGAACAGACACAGACGGACGGGGGCATCACTAGTGCTCAGCGGTGGAAAGTAACTAAGGACACTTTAGTCTAGTTTCCAGAACTGTGAACCCGGAAATGTTGAGTACCCCAAAGTGTTATGTTAGAAATGTATAGTATGGATCCCCAGTCATTACAAACTGCTGGATGCTCAATTGCATAACGTGGGGCAATTTGTACAATTAGCATAAGTTGAATTCATTAGCATTATAGCCGATGTAGACAATACTTTCAAAATGGCTTGGCCGATTTTGGAGTGGTTTGGGGGTTATTGAGGATGCTGAATCAATTCCAGGATCAAAAATCACAGTTTTGCGTGTGCGTGTGTGTGTGTGCGTGTGCGTGTGCGTGTGCGTACGTACACTTCATGCCCAGCAGCAGGGACAGGTTGGGCTCCTTCCCCTGTGCTCTCTGGGCCAGGATGCTGCAGAGGGCCTGCAGGTCCAGCAGACACAGGGACATCTCCTTCAGCAGCCGGCCCACCTCAGGCAGCTCCACCTCAGGCAGCTCCACCTCAGGCAGCTCCACCAGAAGCCCACTATCCCCCACCTGATGGGGAAGTTACCAAAAGAAAAGCAGTGGTGGAAAAAGTACTCAGATCCCCTATTTAAGAAAAAGTACTAATATCACATCCTGAAGATACTCCATTACAAGTAAAGTAAATACCTTAAATACCTGTGGGGGGGCTCTGGATGGGGGGGCCAGGCTTTCCTCTGTTTCCTGTTCATGAGGAAGGCTTCTTTTCTTCTGCAGTCTCATATGAGTGGCCTGACAGAGCAGCACACAGGTAACACTGAGTTCATCATTTACTGTTTGAAACGTTCAATTGTGATGTTGGCTTTGTTACTATGACTGCACCACCTTTTATAGCTTCATTTTCATGATCAGTATACAACTGTATACTGATGCAAAACCCAATAAAAAAAGTAAATAAAATGCTTTTAACTCCAGGAGGTTATCTCTATAACTTAAAAAAGAGTTGGAAACATGCTAAATAGACTGTTTGTATGAGACCCCCCCTTATGTAAAGCATTTTACATAAGTCAGCATTCAGCCATACACACACTCATAGAGGCAGAGGCCGCCATACAGGGTGCAAATAAACTAACATTCACAAACATTTGGTATCATGCACACTGGGTGTGTGGATTTGTGTTAGCCTACCGTTAGCTGAGAGGTCAGTCTCTCAATCCGTTCCTTCTGTTGCTCGATCAGCTGGTGGGGAGCAGAGACCACAAGGTCAGTATTTTGACTTTAGTTGTGTTCATGTGAATGGATGTGTGTGTGTGTGTGTGTGTGTGTGTGTTACAGAGTAGTCCAAAAGAAATGCAACTAGTCTACCCCAACACTGCTGGTGTGTGTGTGTGTGTGTGTGTGTGTGTGTGTGTGTGTGTGTGTGTGTGTGTGTGTGTGTGTGTGTGTGTGTGTGTGTGTGTGTGTGTGCTGGTGCCCCACGAGGACGAAAACGTGTTGTATCCGCATATTTCTCTTGCGTATAGCCCTTTTTGCCACACGAGGCCGTAACTAAACGATAAAAACGGACCCCGCAAACGATAACGGGTCCAAAGGTGGATAGATCTGGGAACGGAGCGCTCTGGGGGGTCATACGGCTCCGTGTGATCGCCTCTAAACGATCATTTTGTGATAATGATGACGCAATAGCCCCGCCTCTCCCCGCCTCTGCTGCTCACCCCCGCAAAAGTACACTGCACACTGAATTCAGATTATTTATCTTTCTCTCGATATGGACATAAACGCGAGTGAAGTCTAATCTGACAGGACGGAGACACGCAGCTCCTCACATAATTTTGTCCGGAAGATTTAAACTTTAACACACGTTGACTGGCGAAAAACTCTGCCCGGTTCCCTCGGCCCCCACCGCGGAGAATAAACAGAAGCGCAACCATGACAACCATGCTTCTTCGCTGCTTGCTCCCGTGGGGCACCAGCCTGTGTGTGTGTGTGTGTGTGTGTGTGGGGGGGACCCTACCCTGCTGCTGTGGTCCTTCTGCTCCAGCAGGTCAGTGTTCTCCACATCCAGCCGCTTCAGGTCCTGCATGGGCAGCCTCACCCCGTCAGCCAGGCAGAGCTGAACCTTCTGCTGCAGGCTGAGGGGGAGAGAGAGAGAGAGAGAGAGAGAGAGAGAGAGAGAGAGAGAGAGAGAGAGAGAGAGAGAGAGAGAGAGAGAGAGAGAGAGAGAGAGAGAGAGAGAGAGAGAGAATTTATTACAGGTGTAATTAAGATCAGATGGACCTTTAGTAATCCCCGTGGGGACATTCAGTTGTTCAAACAGCAACAGGGTGAACAAACAGGATAGCACAGATTCACACAGATTAATAAAATCAAAGATACAAAATACAAATAATAATAATAATAATAATAATAATAATGAGAAACTATGAAATAAGAAATGAATACAAAAAAAATGAGCATATATACATATTGGGTCTTATAAACTATGAATGAAAATGAAAACGGACATATATACAAATTGGATCATATATACATATTACATATTATATATATTAACATGGGTGGGCTCATCTTCACTAGCTCTGCATGAAGTGGGTGGGAGGTGTTCTCTAGGATGCTGTGTAGCTTCCTCCTCGTCCTCCCCTCTGCCACCTCCTCCAGATTGTCCAGTTGTACTCCAGCTACAGAGCTAGCCTTCCTCAGCAGCTTGTTCAGCCTGCCAGTGTCCCTAGTGTTTGTGTTTCCACCCCAGCACACCACGGCAAAGAAGAGCACACTGGCCACTCAGCAGCACATCAGACACGCTGCCCTGCAGTCTGACATACTGAGGTCTGCTGGTGAGGTAGTCTGTGATCCAGGCCACCAGGCTGTGATCCACCTGCATCACTGACAGCTTCTCAGCCAGCAGGTGTGGCTGGATCGTGTTGAAGGCGCTGGAGAAGTCGAAGAACAGGATTCTTAGTGAGCTGTGCGGCTCCTCCAGCTGTGTGTAGGCTCTGTGGAGCATGTAGGTGATAGCACCAATGTTTTCCTGGTAGGCAAACTGTAGAGGGTCCATGGAGTCACACACGAGGGGTTTGAGGTGCTGCAGGATCAGGCCTAGGCTCCACGGGAACGAAAACGGGTTGAATCCGCATATTTCTCATGCGTATAGCCCTTTAAGCTCGACAACGCCGTAACGGAACCGTAGAAACAGACCCTGCAAACGACAACGGGTCCAAAGGTGGATAGATCTGGGAACGGAGCGCTCTGGGGGGTCCAACGGGGCCGTGTGGTCGCCTATACGGTCATCCGTTTCTGATATTTCTGATAATGATGACGCAATAGCCCCGCCTCTCCCCACCTCTGCTGCTCACCCCCGCAAAAGTACACTGCACACTGAATTCAGATTATTTATCTTTATCTCGATATGGACATAAACGCGAGTGAAGTCTAATCTGACAGGACGGAGACACGCAGCTCCTGCCGCTGTGATGCAGCGGGAGCAAAACACACACTTCAAGTCAGATCATCACCCTTAGCTATTTTAATTACCTCTCAAACTACCGAAACTAGTTATAAATATGTTCATTTTTACTGTCGGGTCACTCATTACAGGATCAGCTGCTGCATGAGACAGACACTGACGCTGTCAGAAGAGAGGAAAAAGAGACAGGCTCCGTGTATTTGATGATTATATATCATTATATCGTCGTTATTCATTTGTTTTAAAGCTCAATAAATAACAAAGAAGACCTTTGACCGGCACTTTTATCATTTTGTCCGGAAGATTTAAACTTTAACACACGTTGACCGGCGAAAAACTCTGCCCGGATCCCTCGGCCCCCACCGCGGAGAATAAACAGAAGTGCAGCCATGACAACCATTCTTCTTCGCTGCTTTTGTGGAGGAAGTTACAGCGCCATGTACAGGCTCGGCATATGTACTGCAGCTTTTCCAGCGGTTGGATGTAAACGGAGCCGTCTCGTGGAGCTTGACACAATCCGGTGTATATTGCGTGTGGACGGAAGGTTTTTTGCGTTTGCGTTACTCCGATGCGGGTTTGCCGTATGCGTTCCCGTGGAGCCGGGGCCTCAGTCTCTCAAAGGTCTTCATGACGTGTGAAGTCAGAGCAACAGGCCTGTAGTCTCCTGGGGTGCTGGGGCGTGTCTTTTTGGGCACCGGGACAATGCAAGACGTCTCCCAGACCAGATGTCAGGCACCTTCATCAGCTTCAAAGAGAGACTGAAGAGGTGCTGTAAAGCTCCTGCTAACTGTCCGGCACACGCCTTGAGCACCCGGGGGTTGGTGTTGTCTGGCCCCCTTGCCTTCCTCACGTTGATCTTCGATAGCTGATTCCTGACTTGTCCGGTAGTGATGATCAGAGATGTGAAACTGCTGGGAGTGTGGTCCAACGTTGGGGATGAATGGGGAAGGGCTGCTGTCCCCTCTGGAGTGGTGTTGGGTGTTGTTGGAGAAGAAGAAGAAGAAGAAGGGGAAGTATGAAAGGGAGGGGGAGTAGTGGTGCCAGGGTTTGGGAACCCCTGCTGTCCTGTTGAGCTGGAGATGGGAAGATCAAACCTGTTGAAGAACAGGTTTGAGGATCTCACCCCTCCCCACACCTCTCGAGAGTTATTGACCTCCAGACGACCCTCCAACTGGTCTCTGTATTTCTCCTTGGCTGCCCGTAGCTCTTTTTTCAGCTCCTTCTGCACAGTTTCAGCCCCCACAGTGTCTCGAGCCATGAAAGCCCTCTTCTTCCTGTTCAAGAGGGTTTTAATGTGCCCATTGTTCCAGGGCTTGTTGTTTGGGAAGCATCGTACCCTTTTGGTAGATACAATGCTCTCCTCACAGAAACTGATGTAGTCAGTGATGCAATGGGAGAGTCCATTTATGTCCTCACCGTGAACCCTCTGAAACATGTCCCAGTCTGTTGACCTGTAGCACTCCCTCGACTTCATCTGACCACTGCTGTACAGTCCTGGTGGTGGCTGGCTGTCTCCTGACAAGAGGCTTGTATTTGGGAACAAGCCTGCCCTAATTCAGAGTGATGATGTTCATCCAACCATGCAAACTGAAGCGATGTGGTTCTCTGACAGAAATCTGAATCAGAATTCCTTTATTAGTCCCACAGCAGAGATGTACTGTGTTACAGCAAAAAGAGGTCAAAAAAAGGCAAGCTCTGATACAGAAAAACGCTACCTTATTAAATATAGAGAAGAAAAGCACACTTTAGTGATAATAGAATACAAATAAAGACAAATATGTACACATCCATGGCACAATGTATGTTTTCACATAAAGGTGATTTTTGCACAGTATTGCAAGAAAACAATTGATTCTGACATTTGTGAGAATTATTTTGTAATTTGTGTACGACTTTATAATCTGATAGAATTTCACAGTTTTTTTTTTCAGAATATTTTAATACTTTGTACTTCTAATTCACTACAATTCGGAGTTAATTGTGTACTTGTACTCCACTACATGTATTTAATACCTTTAGTTACTTTACAGATGTGGATGAATGATGTGAAATCTAATCAAGTGTTAAATCAGACTTTAGTTCCACCTGGAGTAAATTCACAAGCTACCCTGCAGTATACAAAGTCATTCAAACTACCTGCACCTTTACCAGCTTTGAGAACACTTTCATGATCAATCATTATAAAACATATCATATATATTATTCTGAAATGGACCAATCTGCACAATGACTACATTTACTGTCGCTACTTTAAGTGTATGTGCAGTTGAGGCCTAAATGATTAGCCCCCCAGGAGTTATGGAACATTTTCCTAAAATTCTTCCCAATGTTTCCAGCATTGATACAACTTGATATAATCAAACATTCACCAGTGCTATTTAGTAGCTTTTGGTACATTTTGGAAAATAAAATAAGTTTTTAGGCTCGCTTTATATCAAATATAGTGAAAAATGGGTTGGTCAAAAATATTAGCCCCAGGCCATTAATAGTCAATAGTGTACCCTTTCTGAGCCACAACTGACAAGAACCCCTTAGAGTAGTTCTTTACTAGGTTGACACAGGTCTCTTGAGGGATTTTGGCCCATTCTTCCATTGCAAATTGTTCCAGCTGGTCCAAATTGCGTGGTTTCCGAGCATGGACATTCACTTTGAGCACCCGCCAGATTCTCAATAGGATTCAGATCTGGGCTATGTGCGGGCCACTCCAGCACCTTGGTTCTGGTGTCCTTTAGGAACTGTTGGACCAAGTTTGATGTGTGCTTTGGGTCATTGTCTTGTTGGAAGACCCAGCGACGACCTAAGCGAAGACTAAGAGCAGATTTGTTCATATTATCCCTCAAAATGTCAACATCATTTGAATTGTTCATGATGCCTTGCACCCGAACAAGGCTCCCTGTGCCTGAGGCTGCACAACAGCCCCACAGCATGATGTGTTCTTAGGGTTGAAGGGCTCTCCCTTTCTTCGCCAAACATAAGCAACATCCATGTGCCCAAACAGTTCCAGTTTAGTCTCATCAGACCAAAGCACAGACTTCCAAAACTCATCTTTACCTTTCAAATGTTCACGGGCTCTGATGTGCCACTCTTTGAGTAAAGGGGTTCTTCTGGGACGATGGCCCTGAAGCCCACCACGATGAAGAGCCCTCACAACTGTGTTCCTTGAAACATCAACTCCAGAAGAGGCCAGGTCAGCAACAATCATCTTGGCAGATGTCCGGGGATGCTTGCTGACATCTGACTATTTTCCTCTCCAGAGTTCTTGAAATCTTGCTCTTTCGACCACGCCTAGGTTTGTTTCTTACAAAATGTGTCTCCTTGTACTTCGCAATGATGCAACGTACAGCAGTTCTAGACATTGGGAAGCACTTGGAAATAGCAGTATAGCCTTCCCCCTTATCATGAGCCTCCACTATCTTCTTTCTGAGCTCAAGTCTGATTTCCTTTGTCTTTGGCATGGTGAGTAGGAGTAGTAGTATAGTCCCTCTCAATAAGGTATCAGAGTGCCTGTTTCTTGGAGTCCTTTTATGCTGATTGAATGCTCAGGTGTGGCTTGAAAGCTGATTGGTTGATTAGGTGTGTTTTGAAAGCAAAAATTCACATGGGGGCTAATATTTTTGACCAACCCATTTTTCACTATATTTGATATAAAGCAAGCCTAAAAACTTATTTTATTTTCCAAAATGTACCAAAAGCTACTAAATAGCACTGGTGAATGTTTGATTATATCAAGTTCAAGGTTCAAGGTTCAAGGTTCTTTATTGTCAAACTGACATAGCTACAGAGTAATTATGTTGTTGAAAATCTTATGTCACAGGCTTCTCCAACAATGCAACATAATAACATAATAACAATACAGATAGCAAGAGCAATACAAAAAGAAAAATTGTTATAAAATAAAGTGATGATGTGGAATAGTGCAGTACGAGTCTATATACAAGTTATTGGAATGATATATATTAGATATTAGATACATATTACTGAGTAGCAGATGAATGTTTTGAAGTTGTTTCAGCAGTTCAATTGTTTAACAGTCTCACTGCCCGCGGGAAGAAACTGTCTCCAAATCTTCTTGTCCTTGCCAGGATGCTGCGGTAACGTCTGCCAGACGGCAACAGAAAGAACAGTTTGTGGCAGGGGTGATGGGGGTCTTTGATAATCCGTAGTGATTTCTTCCTGAGCCGCTGGGAGTAAAGGTCCTCCATGGATGGCAGCTCCGTCCTGGTGATGTGCTGTGCAGTTTTCACCACCCTCTGTAAAGCCTTACGATCGAGGTCGGTGCAGCTGCCGTACCAGGCCGTCATGCTGCCAGTGAGGATACTCTCTATCGTGCACCTGTAGAAGTTGCAGAGTATCCTGGAATCCATTTTGAACCTCCTCAACCTGCGGAGGAAGAAGAGCCGCTGTCGAGCTTTCTTGGTGATGGTGGTGGTGTGAAGAGACCATGTCAGGTCCTCAGTGATGTGGACCCCAAGGAACCTGAAGCTGCTGACTCTCTCCACCGTAGTCCCATTGATGGCGATGGGGGCGTGTCCCTCTCCCTGCTGCTTCCTGTAGTCCACAATCAGCTCCTTTGTTTTGCTGATGTTGAGATGGAGGTTGTTATCCTGGCACCAAGATGTCAGGTTTTCGACCTCCTCTCTGTACGCCGTCTCGTCATCGTCTGTGATCTGGCCGATGACGGTCGTGTCATCAGCAAACTTCACGATGGTGTTGGAGCTGTGTGTGGCCACGCAGTCGTGGGTGAACAGGGAGTAGAGGAGAGGGCTGAGCACGCAGCCTTGAGGGGCACCGGTGTTGAGAATCAGGGTGGAGGATGTGATGTTTCCCACCCGCACTGCCTGGGGTCTGCCCGTCAAGAAGTTCAGGATCCAGTCACAGAGGGCGCTGTTGAGCCCGAGGTCTCTGAGCTTGATGGCCAGCTTGGAGGGCACAATGGTGTTGAATGCTGAACTGTAATCAATGAACAGCATTCTCACATATGTGTTCCTCTGGTCCAGGTGTGAGAGGGCAGTGTGGATGGTGAGGGCTATGGCGTCGTCTGTGGACCTGTTTGCTCTGTAGGCAAACTGCAGGGGGTCCAGAGAGTCAGGGAGGGAGGAGGTGATGAAGGTTTTGACTAACCGCTCAAAGCACTTCATTATGGTGGAGGTGAGTGCTACTGGGCGGTAGTCGTTGGGGCAGGTGATTATTGTCTTTTTGGGGACAGGAACGATAGTGGAGTGTTTAAGACATGTGGGGACTACAGACTGCAGCAGGGACCTGTTGAAGATGTCTGTGAACACCTCTGCCAGCTGAACTGCACACACCCTGAGAACACGGCCAGGGATGCCATCAGGTCCAGGAGCCTTGTGTGGGTTAACCCTTTTAAAGGATTTACACACATCTGCCCTATTTAAAACAAAAGGGCAGTGTAGCTCCTGGTCCCTCTGTACCTCCACAGCCCGGCTGCTCTCAAAGCGTGCAAAAAAACTGTTCAGCTCATCTGGGAGAGATGCGCACGCAGACACTCCCGCAGCACCCCCCGCTGCTCCTTTGTAGTCTGTCATTGTTCTTAGTCCCGCCCACATATTCCTGGTTTGATCAATGCTGGAAACATTGGGAAGAATTTTAGGAAAATGTTCCATAACTCCTGGGGGGCTAATAATTTAGGCCTCAACTGTAGATGCTGATACTTTTTTACTTGAGTAACATTTTGAATGCAGGACTTTTACTGTAACAGAGTATTCCTACACTCTGGCACTAGTACTTTTCTAGTACATCATGTGAGCACTCCTCCCACCTGTGCGGTCAGAGTGTGTACCTTTGCACCGATGCGATCAGCTCCTTCTCCCTCATGGCCTGCATCTCCATCCTGAAGTCCTTCTCCTTCATCAGAGCGTACCCTTCCTCTAGGCTCTGCTGTAACCGGGAGGCCGTTCTCTCCAGATGTTTGGCCTTCTGCTGGACCGCCTCCTGCTGAACACACACACACACACACACACACACACACACACACACACACACACACACACACACACACACACACACACACACACACACACACACACACACACACACACACACACACACACACACACACACACACACACACACACACACACCACACACACACACACACACACACACACACACACACACACACACACACACACAGTTAATATTATTATTATTATTATTATTATAGTGAACCCTGAAAAGCACAATTTCGGATTGGTTTTTTGGGGTTATTGAGGATGGCGAGTCCATTTCAGACTTTTTCAGATAAGACATGGCCAGTTCTAACCAGAAAGTGGACATATATGTACTCTCTGTGGGCTGATTTTGACTACCATGAGTAGTGTTGCGACCATTGGATATAGAGAGCACAAAAATAAAATGAGTATCTCCACTGTAGACAAATTATTTTCAAATAGATTAGCATTCTCTTCAATCAAGATGATCCAGAGTCCCCTACATCTTCAAAATTGGCCAAAAATGTATCAAAATCAGCCCACAGAGGTTTGTGCTGATCTGGCATAAATGAGGTTTAACTTTATATTGTTATTTGTCATTTGATTTATGGTGCATCTCAGGTGATGTTACAGAGTAGTCCAAAATAAATGTGACTCGTCACTACTTACAGTACAGCAGTGAGTCATTTAGTAAAGTAAGGCATTACTTTTTTTGAGTAACTACCCTAACACTGCTGGTGTGTGTGTGTGTGTGTGTGTGTGTGTGTGTTTACCTGCTGGCTCTGGGTCTGCACCTCGTCCAGCGTCGGCAGGTCAGAGAGGTATTTCTCCAGAGTTTCGATGCGTTGCTGTTTCTCTCGGATCTGTTCGCTCTCTCGCTGACATTTCTTTTTCAGACTGCTGATGTAGCGATCCCTCGTCTTTATCTGAGAACAACAACACCCAGTATTACCAATACCCTGATTTCATATTATGTTGAATTTAACTACATTCATTTAACACATTTTTAGATACTGGCGGTACACTGAAAATAAAATAAATAGATACATAAATTAAGAGTAATGAAATAGAAATGAAGTACATCAGCAATGGAAAAGGAAAAGTGTGCGACTGTTGGTTAACTTTGAAATAAATGACGGTCTCTATTGGCTTTTATGTGTGTCCAGAAACATTCCCAAGGAGTATCCCTTGTCATTTTCATTGCCTTTCAACCTAGTGATCATAGCCTCGTAGGATGCTTTCTCAACCATGGCACTGAGCCATTCCTTCATATCCGGAGGGTTGTCTATTTTCCAATGTCTCAAGATAATTCTTGAAGCTGTTATCAAACCAACCATAATAATAGAAAATGCACTTTTTGAAATATGTGGTATTTGAGATCTGTCCCCTAATCAGTGGCGACTCGTCATTAGGGGCAGGTGGCACAGCCCCACCTACTGTCAGCAGAAATTAATTAAAATAATAGTTCCAAAAATATGTATGAAATAAATGTTAAAATGTATTTTAAGACCATGTTTAGTGGTCTCTACATTGCTGCTTCAGACTGCATTCTTCTGATTAGTGTCTACAGATAGGCACTATAATATGCACACTGTAAGAATGAATGTGTACCGTGAAAACCACACTGCACCGCTCACCATCTGCCGTGCCGCTATTCTTTTCAAGTGAGCCTTCAGCTTTGGTGAGTGAAAGTATATTTGATGTCATATTTGTTGTTATTTGTCCATGTTTTGACTATAGGCTATTGCTCTGCTGGATCGATTGATATTGTAACCATGGTGAAAAGTGTCGGTGTTTTCCTTATACAGTATATACAGTTTCTTAGTTTTCATGCTGAAGCAATACGGTTGTTGGTATTGTTAAAGTATAGCTTTGTGATAGCGCCCTTTACTCCATGTAAAATGACACAGGTTTGTCCGGTGCCTTGCTCAAGGGCACCACGGCAGGGCCCAGGAGGTGAACTGGGACCTCTCCAAGTAGCAGTCCACACTCCATATTTAGGTTTGGTCGGGGACTTGAACCGGCGACCCTACAGCTCACAGTCCAAGCCCCTACTGACTGAGCCACTGCCAGATATGTGACTCTGTAGACCAATGGAACTGAGTTGTTACACAGTTCCTCATTTATAAATATTTCCCAAAATATTGTTTTTGTTCTGGAATGGTTAAATATGATCCTTCACATACCTTCTCCTCCAGTTTCCTGATGTCCTCTGTATATTTGTGGTTGACCTGCTTGAAGAACTCGCTCAGATGGAGAACCTCCAGCTCAGCCACCGCCAGCTTCCTCCCCAGCTCCTCATCGCAGTACAGCCTATCAGAGGGCTGTTTGCATGTTCTCAACGCTGATTCCTATTGGACAACAAAACTGGTGGTGTGACTGAATATTTGGATGTTTAATATCCCAATATGAATGCTCATTGATCACAGAGAGGTGTTACCTTTTGGAAGGGGGGGTCATCCAGCCACACCCTCTGGCTGTGCAGCACCTGCTCTGCTCTCAGCTCGTTCTCTCTGATCCGGGCATGGAGCTGCAGGATCTGCTGCTTCTGTCTGAAACACAGAATAAAACAAACAGTGTCATAACATGTCTATTTAAGCTGAGATGGATGAGGCAAGAACAGGCAGGGCAAAATACATAAAAACAGATGAGATAAAAAAGACAAGGGTTGGGATCGAATTGTCCATTTTGCTTAGGAACGTTCCCTACGGAGTGAAATGATTTGAAAGTACATGATAAGATCTGTTCTGATTCCATAGAGGATAGGAAAGGAGCTTGAGCAGTGGCGTCGCCTGGCCTGGGCATCCGGGGCTTTAGCCCGAATGTTTTTTCTGTAGCCCCGGACAATTCTCCCTCAATAATATAATACATTAACCGTGCTTTACGTGAACCTCATCATGACACAAGAGAGGACGGCAGCACTGTAATTTCCCGTGTTCAGTGAATGCAACAGAGGCATGACACCAGACCAATCAGAGAGTTGCATGGAAATAAACGTGTGCTTGTGTCATTCAAGCTCGGCTCTGTGTGTGTGTGTGGCAATAGCGCATTTAGTGTGATAGAGAGAGAGGGAGAGAGAGAGAGAGAGAGAGAGAGGGGGGGGGGGGAGGGGGGAGGGGGAGGGAGGGACCGGTGTCAGCATGGACCGTGTTGTTAGCATCTGGTTTGCTAGCTGCACTAACGGACATATGGAGCTGTTTGTTCCACAAGAAGCTGGAGGAGAGTCCTCTCCTCTCAGACTGAGAGACTCAGGTGAGCTAAAGGACTCTCTGAGTGTTTAGATAGTTAACTTTAGTCTAAGTTATCTCAGTGGGTCTCAAACGGTTTGGTCACAAATTATTCAAAAGATTATTTCCGCGGCACACCTTCATATGATCATTATAGTTATTAAAAAAAAGAGAATAAAGGAAAAACAGTTATGAAATACTATATGGCAGTAAAACAAGAATAGAGTTTAAAAGGGGAGTGATTAGTAAAATATCCATAAAGAAAAAGTACATCTGTTTACAGTTCTGCTTCATATGGGTGTTGAGAGATGTATCCATAGATCTCTTCATTTTGCTCTCAAAGTGCACCAGATTGATGAATTTAACTTCAATATTTAAAAACTTTACCCCTGCCTATATGCCGTGAGCTGATTATCGAGCCTTCATTGTAACAGTCGCGGGTGTACTGTGTGTGTGCGTGTGGGGAGTGTTGCAGTAAAAAATGCCACTGTAGTGCCGCTGCCACTGTGGGCTAAGCCCCGAATATTTTCAGGTCCAGGCGACGCCCCTGAGCTTGAGTGTTCCTTTATAATCTCCTTTGGCTTAGTATACACCAGACTATCCTTAATGAAAGGAACGGTGAAAATGGCAAAATACTTTACGCACCATTCGGCCATCCACGGAAACAACCGATCACAACAGAAAAAACGAGGATCATGTAAAAATAGTACAAAAACGACTAAAAGGTTTATCTTTTATACAACTTCAGGCAGTAAGTCTAAATCCCAAGGGCTCCCTCAACAAAAAGCACTTTTATATTGTTGTTGGATTTCTAAATATTGCAGAAAATAAGATCAGTGGCATTAATGAAATGTACGCGTTTTCTTCAGCAGGATAATCTCAATATATTAAAACCGCAATATGAATTTAAAGCTTAAAAGCAATTGGCAGAAGCAAAAAGCTAACGCTAGGCTATAAAGGAACTACATCACGTATTTGCATCACCACCGCTAAGCTAAGGCGCTAATGTTTGGTGTGATGACGTTCAGTAGTCACACGATGTAAATCTTATTTCAGGTATCTAACAAAAAACACATTCAAAAAACTTTGACATAAAGATAAGGGAACTAGAAGTGGTAAATTGCTGACTCATTTCCAGCTTTAAGGACTCATTCCTGCACCATTATATAGAGCAGCTAAATACACAGAGATCCACACAGTAAACTACATGGGAAGGTGTGTATAAAATGAGTCACTTGGGTCTAAATAGAGAACTCAGCTCTTCGTGTGAGGGTGTATGTGTATGTGTATGTGTATGTGTATGTGTATGTGTATGTGTGTGTGTGTGTGTGTGTGTGTGTGTGTGTCCGTGTGTGTCCTGCAGTACCTCTCTATCTCCAGCTCTCTCTGTCTCAGCAGCCCCTCTTTCACCTTCACCAAAGTGTGTACAGGAAGAGAGGTCCCCATCAGCACCTGGACACACACACACACACACACACACACACACACACACACACACACGTATTATCAGTGCATAGTGCATAGCATCGTAGCATACAGCATTCGTAGCCTAAAGTAATGACGTCAGTGTGTCAGGACAGTGGCGCTACGGCTATTGGGCAAACTCCACCAATCAGGAGGAGACAGCCACGGCCATTGCCGTTCGAAAGCGCTGGAGACGCTGTAGTACATATGCCAGGCCTGTAGGTGGTGCTGTTCTCACTGAATCAGCCCTTGCTAAAACAGAGCTAAAAAATGTCAAATTGAGCAAAATGAGGCATGGCTAAAATGCATGATCTGTTTGGTATTTTGAAAAAAAAAAGTATAAATATGCCTTATATAGGTATGGTCCTACACTATATTATTAAAATATAGCATGATAGGTCCACTTTAAGATCCAGACGTCCGTGACTAAAATCCTTCATCCGGTTCAATATAGTTAAAAAAATACCAATTGTATAGCATTAAAGTTCAAGAAAGGATGGTTTGCGGAAGAAAAAAATTGTCTTTTCTTCAATTCCTGTATGTTTTCATATCGCAATATATATCGCAGGGGGGGAAAAAATAGCAATGTCAGTTTTTTCCAATATCGTGCAGCCCTAATCTGAACTTTTCGATCCGTTACAATTATTAACTGAAGCAATATAAAAATGAGCCCCATTAACTGAGTTTTAAACATCAGCTATGACCGGCTATGACCGGTAATAACCGGTCATAGCCGGTAATTACCGGCTAACGGAAACTCTGCTAAACAATTCACAATACAACACATTAAATGGAAGATCCCCATAGCCCCCACCCACCCTATGATCGGTCCCAAAAACCCTGATGGGAGCATCCCTAGTAGATATGCTAACAGGAGAAATTAGTATCTTGCCTAAAGACACTTTGGCTAGGAATGAAACCACTGACCCTCTGTCAGTAGACACACATTTACCCCTGAGGCAAAGCCGCTTACCTGGTGAAGCCCTGGTTCCTGTTGACATGGCGATGGCCCATCTCCACAGCCCTCTGTTCCAGCAGCACCAATCGGACCCAGTTGACCTCCACCCTCTACTTTGGGCCTGTACTCCATCTGCTCAGCGAGCCACATCTGGGTGCGGACCGCCGGCTGGATGGGGGACCCTCTGTCGGTCTGATGATCCTTCAGTGCTGGGTCAGCTGGTTTGGGTAAGCTGAGGCCATAGAGCTGTGCCCCCCCCCGAGCCACTTTAGATTCCGGCAAGGCGCTGTAGTTCATGTCCAAACTGTTGCGTTTCACCGATGAGGATGGACTCGAGGGCACGGACCGGTTCTTTTCCAAACCACTGGATCTACTGCTGTGGTTGTAGCGGTAGCAGGGCCCGGCCCCCGGGGAGCGCTGCAGGAGGCTGTGGTAGAGCAAGGAGGAAGATAAGGGGAGGTAAAGATCCACGTTAGAACCGAGGGGCTCCTTCCTGTACCCATGTGGCAGTCCTCGGTCCAGGGAGCCTTGGGGGTTGTACTGAAGGCCTGATGTCTTGCTGGAGCTTCTGTCCGCCCCAGAGGGCAGCTTGGTGAGAGAGGAGCACCTCCGCAGGGGCTGGTGGTCCTTCATGTCCAGAGAGACCCCCGGCAGGGTCACGGCGGGGGTCAGTAGCTGGCAGGATCTGCTCCAGCGCCCGGTGCTGCTGCTGGTGGAGGCTGGCGTACTATAGCCGGTGTACGGGGAGGAGGATGGGGACAGCATGACGTGGACCAGGGGGACGGACCCTTCATCCTGACTCACGAGATGCTGCAACGTGAGCGGCTGAAAAGACAACGGTGTGGTACTGGAACTGGAGTCATCTGGAAGACATACAGAGCATTAGAAGAAAAACCATGTCGGACATCCTCATCGACACAAGAGCAGAATCATAACGAATGCTTTATTCAGTCTGCATAACATTAAGCTAACAAGGCTTTTTCTGCTTATAAAGAAAAATATTACAAATGAGGTAGATAGATACTTTATTTATCCCAATTAGGAAATTATTTGTGTCACATCAGCAGTGTTGTGTATACATTACAATTGTGCAAAGATTTCAGTGATTAATAACCTGCTGGTTTTGTAAGAGACAGACAGACAGATATAAAGACAGGTTAACAGACCTTCCACGCTGTTGGAGCAGTAGGTCCCGATCCCGGTGTCCCCGCTGTCGGACACGGTGCTGTGCCGCCGGCCCCCACAGACACCGCTCCCAGGGACCCATCCTGGAGAGCCCCCCCCACTGGAGCCTGGAACACATTTTAAAAGGCTATCTGTCACACAAGGTATTTATTGATTATACAGAAAAGTGGTTATCAGGGTTGCAAGAAACCTGTAAATCAATATCCTGACAGTCACAAAGTCACTTTTTTTTCTTTCAATGTTTTTTTCTGGATTCTAAGGCCTGAAACCACCAGACTCAAGAGACTCAGAGTTTCATCCCACAGGCCATCAGACTACCTAGGCTATGTTCAGTGCCTCCATAACCTTAGCATTCATCTGTTTGCATCTTACAATTGATTTATTTTATTATTTATTACTACAATAAACAGTATTATATTTTCTTTTACTGTACCATTTTTTATTTTACAAAATGTTCTTGTCTATCTTATTTTATATACATGTGTATCCTGCATTTATTTGGTCACTTACAACATTCTCTGCAACATTTACCTTATTGTTTTGATTGCAGGACTTTTACTTGTAACAGAGTATTCCTACACTCTGGTACCTATACTTTTACTGAAGTACAAGATCTGAGTCCTCCTCCCACCTCTGCTACTTTAAACCAAAATAAGAGATCTGAGTAGTAATGTTTATTCCACTTCAGAGATCTCAACATTGCTGTCCTTCCTTCTCTGTTCTCAGATGGAAATATTATTCTTGCAGTATACAAATCAGCAGAGCATAGAAAACAGTCATAAACCCAGACACCCTTCCTTCTCATGTCCTTAATGTATCTATTGAATTAGTAAATGTCAGAGGTGGGAGAAGTACTCAGATCGTGTACTTGAGTACCAGACTGTAGGAATCCTCTGTTACAAGTAAAAGTCCTGCATTCAAAATGTTACTCAAGTAAAAGTAGAAAAGTATTAGCATCTAAATATAGTTAAAGTACCAAAAGTAAAAGTACTCATTGTGCAAATTGGTCCATTTCAGAATAATATATATGATATGTTTTATAATGATTGATCATTAAAGTGTTCTCAAAGCTGGTAAAGGTGCAGCTAGTTTGAATGACTTTGTATACTGCAGGGTAGCTTGTGAATTTACTCCAGGTGGAACTAAAGTCTGATTTAACACTTGATTATATTTCACATCATTAATCCAAATATGTTAAGTAACTAAAGGTACTAAAGGTACTAAAGGTATACATGTAGTGGAGTAAAAGTACATGATTTACCTCTGAATTGTAGTGGAGTAGAAGTACAAAGTAGCATGGAAATACTCAAGTAAAGTACAAGTATCTCAAAATTGTACTCGAGTACAGTACTTGAGTACATCTACTTAGTTACGTAGTCATAAACCGAGACACCCTTCTCCCTCATGACCTTAATGTAACTATTCAATGTGTTCTTGTAGCACAGCATCACAGAGGCAGATAGCATCGTGCTAGCTGCTGTACTGCAGCTATGGGCCTTTAAATCTCAGTAAGTGGATGTAGCTAGCTTGCGTGTCAGAAACATAGACTGTCTATATAAAGTCAGAAATCATCCTGTACCTTCACACTTTTATCGAATGTGCGTCTCACCTGTTTTATTAGTTTCGTATCCATCCTCTAATTCACTTCTGTACCACATCCCGTATGACTGTGAGGCAGAAACACGGCGGAGTGATCACAAGACAAAAGAAAAAAGGCCAAAGTCTGAAAAGACGGGGTGTATATTTTAAATTACATTATGGAAGAAAATATCGAAAGATCTATGAGGAATGAGTTCTGTCTGAAAAACATTCATCCTAATAACCTAGAAATGATGTCCGGAGCTGAGCTTCCTGTGAGAGGAAGTGACCCCCGCAGACTCCTCGTCCTCTCTCCCCGCAGAGCAGCTCCGCATCAGGAGAACGGAACGGACCGAGGAGAGGTTCACTGCTGGAGCATGGGGACTGTGTTTTCACTGTAGAATCACTCAGAACCTTAATGTTCTGACAGGGCGTCTTTTCTTGCAATTACGGTAACCTTAAAAGGCTTTTTAAAATGATTATTGTTATGTATTTATTTTATTCAAGAACATATATGAACATGATGTTCATATATCTAAAAAATAAATCATCATCATATATTTTGTATACAAAAAAGTTCATATCAGGGGTAGACATATAAAGTAATACAAAATTACATAAAAAAAAAAAAAGAAACAAGAAAAATACTGTTTCATATTTCAGATGAAATATCATTATATTTTATATTAATATTTTTATTAATTCAAGAACATATGAACATCATATATTTTGTATATAAAAAAGTTCACATCAGGGGTAGTCATATCAATTAATAAAAAATTACATATAATAAAGAAAGAAAGTAAAGAAAGAAAAATAGAGTTTCATAATTCAGATTAAATATGAGTTAAATAGTTTTCATTGCCTTTTTATCACCTTTGAAGTATATTAATGTCTCTATCCTGGAGTCCTACTTTTTTTTCCCGTTTTCAAAAATATGTTTGTACCTCATATCAAAACATTTTACAATACATACATTCATAGAATAAATGGCAATATATTCTTTATAGTACCTCCTTAAAAGGCTTTGCGCAATCAATGACGTCAGAACAGAAGTATTCCTATTCGGCCAAGATCATGACAAGAAGATCCTGCTAAAACACCATTATTTAACACCCATTTAACCCTTAAACAAACACTTGTTAAACATATATCCTCCTGGGACCAGAGGAAAAAAAGTGTCTTCCAATTTCCTTTTTTTTGTGATTTCCTACCTATTTAGGGTTAAAAAAAATCTTGCAATTTAGACTTTTTATTTTATTTTATTTTTAAATGTTACAGTATGTCCACTGTAGAGGACGTCGGGACCATATTAGTTTGAAAAGACAGCCAAAATGAACAGATAGACTATGTAACGTATTATGGTTATAGAGTGATATTAATACAATAATACATTCACCTTTTATTTAAAACTTAAATAAGTAATTGATCTGAACATTGCTGTTTATTTGGTCACTAAAAAACTAGTTTGGTTTTTGGTGAATCTTTCCAGATCTTCAAAGACTTTGTAGTCGATGTACTGGGAAAAGTACCTCATTGACTCCAGTCGGCACGGGCTGTATAGTCATCTTGACTAATTTTATGGATGTGGTCTCCATTTGACCATGCTCATAGAAACAAAGCTTGCATTCCTGAGGCAATTCTCATTTTTCATGGCTCCACTTAAAATAAAAACAACAATAAGACATACGTGCTACTCTTGGCCCACAGAGGGCCATGTCTTTCCAGCTCGTCCCTATCTGTCTCTCTGTCTGTATCTGTGCGCTCATGGAGCCTCCTGCATCTTTCCCCCCCTTCTTCTTGACCCTCTTCTATCCCAGGTGTGAAATCCTCATCTCTCTCATCATCTGAGAGCTCAACATCTGAATCTCCCTTAACTATCTGGTACAGAAAATGTCTGCTTCAGTTCCGTCTCCTGCAACAATATTGAGTCATTAAGTCCATGAAGATGGTCCTGACGTCCACTAGAATGGACATTTATAAAAGGGCTGTTATTTGAAAACTTGAATTATTTAATTGCTTTCAGAACTAATTATATAGTTCCTCACATGTTAATAAACAAGAACATATATGATTGTGTGAGCCTCTCTGCTCACACAGGGTTCAAAGAGTGACGGAAAGAGCAGGGTTTGGGTTTAACACAGGCGTTTATTAGCACCAACACAAAGTGTACAACACGGGTTGCAAAACGTTGCCCGTGTGGGCTCCTCCACAGGTCCTTCGGCGACCTCCCAGGATCCTGCCTACTGCAAGACCGACCAGAACCAGGTTACCACATGCTTTTATTCAGTCATTGATTACCTGATTCCGATCAGCTGTCTGGCCTCCGGCCGAGCCACTCCCTTCACACCAGCAGCCGGCGCCCTAACCACACCCCGCTGCCACATACCCCCACCGCCCCGACTCAGGCCGGGACCCCGCCGGCCGCAAGCTGACTCCCCCCCCCCCCCCTCCGCCGAGCGAGAGAGGAAATCAGCCACGACCATCTGGTTACCCGGCCTGTGGATCACCTTGAAGTTGAAAGGCTGTAGCGCCAGATACCACCGAGTGATCCGGGCGTTGGCATCCTTCATGCGGTGGAGCCACTGGAGCGGGGCATGGTCCGACCAGAGGGTGAAAGGGCGCCCCAGGAGGTAGTACCGCAGGGCGCCGACCGCCCACCGTATGGCGAGGCACTCCTTTTCCACCGTACTGTAGTTCACCTCCCTTTGGGCGAGCTTACGGCTAATGTACAGTACGGGGCGGTCGACCCCCTCCACCTGCTGGGACAAAACGGCCCCCACCCCACTGTTCGAGGCGTCGGTCTGCAACACAAAAGGGAGAGAGAAGTCAGGAGAATACAGAAGCGGCTTACCACAGAGGGCTTTTTTAACCCTCTCAAACGCCAGCTGACACCGCTCCGTCCACTGGACCGGATCTGAAGCACCCTTTCGGGTCAGGTCGGTCAGGGGACTGGTCAGCTCCGAAAAGGACGGGATGAACCGCCTGTAGTAGCCGGCCAGCCCCATGAACCTCCTGACCTCTTTTTTCGTCTTGGGCGCCAGACAGGCTGAAATGGCGGTTGTTTTCTCTATCTGTGGCCGCACCTGCCCGCCGCCCAAGTGGTACCCCAGATACCGTACCTCCCTCCGTCCAACCGCACACTTCTTCGGGTTGGCCGTGAGCCCCGCCTGTCTCAGGGACTTGAGCACTGCCCCCACCTGCTGCATATGCTGCTCCCATGTCTCACTGTGAATGATGACATCATCCAAGTAAGCAGCAGCATATGCAGAGTGGGGACGCAGCACCCGGTCCATGAGCCGCTGGAAAGTGGCTGGAGCTCCGAACAACCCGAAAGGAAGTGTGACAAATTGGTATAAGCCATACGGAGTGGAGAAGGCCGTTTTTTCCTTAGACTCTGGAGAAAGGGGAATCTGCCAATAGCCCTTGGTTAAATCCAGCGTCGTGTAAAAGCGAGCAGTGCCTAGCCGATCCAGGAGTTCGTCGACCCGGGGCATTGGATAAGCATCGAATTTGGACACCTCGTTCACCCTGCGGTAGTCCACACAGAACCGGATTGACCCGTCGGACTTACGTACCAGCACGACGGGGCAACACCAGTCACTGGTGGACTCTTCTATCACTCCCATCTCTAGCATAGCCTGAAGCTCCGCCTGAACAATTTTCCTCTTGTGTTCAGGCAGCCGATAGGGCCGTGAACGAATGGCCACGCCCGGGGGCGTTTCTATGCGGTGGTGTATGAGAGAGGTGCGCCCTGGCAGCGGAGAGAACACATCGGCAAACTGCCTTTGCAACGAAGCAACGTCTGCTCTCTGGCCCGGTGCGAGATTGTCGCCACAACAGACCGGGGCTAATTTGTTGCTTTTAATGACCTCCGGTCCCAACTCATCTCTCTCAATCACCGTGGTGACCAGAGAAACAGACGCCACCTCCCTCCATGCTTTCAGGAGGTTAAGGTGGTAAATCTGTGTTGCTCCCCCCCTGTCAGAACGCACCACCTCATAATCTACGTCCCCCACTCGTCGTGTGACCACGAAGGGTCCTTGCCACTTGGCGAGTAGTTTAGAGCTAGAGGATGGGAGTAATACAAGCACTTTATCTCCCGGTGAAAATTGTCTCAGTTTCGACCCTCTGTTGTACAGGCGCTGCTGACGTTCCTGAGCCTGGAGCAAATTCTCCCGTGATATCTGCCCCAGTGAGTGGAGTTTTGCTCGCAGGTCCATAACGTACTGTATTTCGTTTTTACTGGTGCTTGGACCCTCCTCCCAGTTTTCCTTAACTAGGTCCAAAACACCCCGGGGCTTCCTGCCAAATAAGAGCTCAAAGGGAGAAAATCCCGTGGAGGACTGGGGCACCTCCCGCACTGCAAACAACAGAGGATCTAGCCATTTATCCCAATTACGACTATCTTCGTGAACGAACTTACGAACCATGTTCTTTAGTGTTTTATTAAACCGTTCCACCAGGCCGTCGGTCTGAGGATGGTAAACACTAGTCCGTATTGAATGGACGCCCAATAGTTCATACAGCTCGCGTAGTGTGCGTGACATAAACTGTGTGCCCTGGTCAGTCAGGATCTCTTTCGGGATCCCGACTCGGGAGATAATGTGAAACAGTGCCTGTGCGACGCTCTTTGCAGAGATATTACGCAGCGGCACTGCCTCGGGATATCGCGTGGCATAATCCACTAGGACCAGTACAAAGCGATATCCCCGTGCACTCCGGTCTAATGGCCCGATGAGGTCCATACCAACTCTCTCAAAAGGCACCTCAATCAATGGTAACGGGCGCAAAGGCGCCCTGGGGGTGGCCGGCGGGTTAACCAGCTGACATTCACGGCAAGATGCACACCACCGCTTCACATCTGCGCGAATGCCCGGCCAATAAAATCGGGCCATTATCCGGTGTAGTGATTTGTCGTACCCTAGGTGACCTGACATGGGGTTATAATGAGCCGCCTGGAAAACCATTTCCCGACGGCTTTTTGGCACCAACAACTGGGTATTTATATCTCCTGTCTGTGTGTCACGGCTCACACGATACAGCCTGTCCCTAACCACCGTAAAGTGTGGGTGAGTGAGTGCTGCGTTTGGGTGTAGCTGGGAGCCATCAATACTCACCACCTGGTCGAAGGCGTGCTGAAGGGTCTCGTCTCTCGACTGTTCGAGGGGGAAATCCTCCAAAGGAAACACCAGCGGGGCCAGAGGGACCTCCGCGGCCCCCTCCGTGTCCGTTTCCCCCTCGACGTCGTCAGCCGCCTCCGACTCTCCACTAAACACAGCACACAACTCACATTTCCCTGCCGTCCGTGAA